ATTGAACTCAGGTGTGATAAACCACAGTTGAGTTGTGTTATAACAGGGGGGGCAAACACTTTTTCACACAGGGCCATGTGGGTTTGGATTTTGTTTTCCCTTAATAATAACAACCTTTATTTCAAAACCGCATTTAGTGTTTACTTGTGTTATCTTTGACTAATATTTACATTTGTTTGATGATCTGAAACATTTAAGTGGGACAAACATGCAAACAAATAACAAATCAGGAAGGGGGCAAACACTTTTCCACACCACTGTATATATATACTGCTCAAAAAAATAAAGGGAACACTTAAACGACACAATGTAACTCCAAGTCAATCACACTTCTGTGAAATCAAACTGTCCACTTAGGAAGCAACACTGATTGACAATACATTTCACATGCTGTTGTGCAAATGGAATAGACAACAGGTGGAAATTATAGGCAATTAGCAGGACACCCCCAATAAAGGACTGGTTTTGCAGGTGGTGACCACAGACCACTTCTCAGTTCCTATGCTTCCTGGCTGATGTTTTGGTCACTTTTGAATGCTGGCGGTGCTTTCACTCTAGTGGTAGCATGAGACGGAGTCTACAACCCACACAAGTGGCTCAGGTAGTGCAGCTCATCCAGGATGGCACATCAATGCGAGCTGTGGCAAGAAGGTTTGCTGTGTCTGTCAGCGTAGTGTCCAGAGCATGGAGGCGCTACCAGGAGACAGGCCAGTACATCAGGAGACGTGGAGGAGGCCGTAGGAGGGCAACAACCCAGCAGCAGGACTGCTACCTCCGCCTTTGTGCAAGGAGGAGCAGGAGGAGCACTGCCAGAGCCCTGCAAAATGACCTCCAGCAGGCCACAAATGTGCATGTGTCTGCTCAAACGGTCAGAAACAGACTCCATGAGGGTGGTATGAGGGCCCGATGTCCACAGGTGGGGGTTGTGCTTACAGCCCAACACCGTGCAGGACGTTTGGCATTTTTGCCAGAGAACACCAAGATTGGCAAATTCGCCACTGGCGCCCTGTGCTCTTCACAGATGAAAGCAGGTTCACACTGAGCACGTGACAGACGTGACAGAGTCTGGAGACGCCGTGGAGAACGTTCTGCTGCCTGCAACATCCTCCAGCATGACCGGTTTGGCGGTGGGTCAGTCATGGTGTGGGGTGGCATTTCTTTGGGGGGCCGCACAGCCCTCCATGTGCTCGCCAGAGGTAGCATGACTGCCATTAGGTACCGAGATGAGATCCTCAGACCCCTTGTGAGACCATATGCTGGTGTGGTTGGACCTGGGTTCCTCCTAATGCAAGACAATGCTAGACCTCATGTGGCTGGAGTGTGTCAGCAGTTCCTGCAAGAGGAAGGCATTGATGCTATGGACTGGCCCGCCCGTTCCCCAGACCTGAATCCAATTGAGCACATCTGGGACATCATGTCTCGCTCCATCCACCAACGCCACGTTGCACCACAGACTGTCCAGGAGTTGGCGGATGCTTTAGTCCAGGTCTGGGAGGAGATCCCTCAGGAGACCATCCACCACCTCATCAGGAGCATGCCCAGGCATTGTAGGGAGGTCATACAGGCATGTGGAGGCCACACACACTACTGAGCCTCATTTTGACTTGTTTTAAGGACATTACATCAAAGTTGGATCAGCCTGTAGTGTGGTTTTCCACTTTAATTTTGAGGGTGACTCCAAATCCAGACCTCAATGGGTTGATAAATTTGATTTCCATTGATCATTTTTGTGTGATTTTGTTGTCAGCACATTCAACTATGTAAAGAAAAAAGTATTTAATGAGATTATTTCATTCATTCAGATCTAGGATGTGTTATTTTAGTGTTCCCTTAATTTTTTTGAGCAGTGTATATACATTATTTTAATAGCAGGACACTGTAAAGTCCATTATTCCACTGAAGAGTATGATTTCAGCTGTTTGAGGTTTGAATTCTAAGCAACCTGGCATACACATTGTTTGAAGTACAATAGACCAACATAGCTACTGTAGTAGGTCAAAGCTGTGTGCTGGAAAACCTTGGAAGGTCACTGGAAGGTGATTATGCAACATTATTATACAACATTATAATACAGCATAACACAGCAATACAAGTCAAGTAAAAATGCACAATAATGACAAATGGCAACAGAAATAATGTAGTTATTAGTATTTATTTAATATCAAAAGCTGATTTTCCAGAGGGAAGTGAAAAACCAGAAACCCATTTAAGCCAATATAGAGTAAACTTGAAAAAATTCCCTGATCTCTTCTAACAAGATAATCGAGCAAGCTCCTGGAAAATACACAAATAATCAACATGTAGCCTATTTACATACATTATTGACTGTCACATTGGATGGCTCAGAGAGTAAGGCATAAAGTGGCACAAACTGCTCAGTGTCCTGCGCCAGCAGAGAGCCTGTGCTACTTCTCCCACTGACATCCTAGTCATCCACCTCGGTGGAAACGACTTCTGGTGCGGCAGATGCGCGGATTTAGAGGTGGTCATCCGAATGTTTCACAGGACAACGGTGCTCTTCTCTGATATCGCCAAGCGGAGGAGCTGGCTGTTCCAGTGGGACCAGAAGATAAACAAGTGTATAGAGAAGGCCTGGGGCTCCGTCAATCAGCTGGTGTACGCATTTCAGGGAACACAATCCACCACCCTGCCATTAAACATTGTGTCCCTGGGCTATACTGTAGGGGTGGAGTGCATCTGACGGATGAGGGCAACGATGTATTCCTTGAGAGTTGGTCTCTCCAGTCTCCACTGTCTCTCCAAGACGTTGAGAGTTGGTCTCTCCAGTCTCCACTGTCTCTCCAAGACGTTGAGAGTTGGTCTCTCCAGTCTCCACTGTCTCTCCAAGACGTTGAGAGTTGGTCTCTCCAGTCTCCACTGTCTCTCCAAGACGTTGAGAGTTGGTCTCTCCAGTCTCCACTGTCTCTCCAAGACGTTGAGAGTTGGTCTCTCCAGTCTCCACTGTCTCTCCAAGACGTTGAGAGTTGGTCTCTCCAGTCTCCACTGTCTCTCCAAGACGTTGAGAGTTGGTCTCTCCAGTCTCCACTGTCTCTCCAAGACGCGAGCAGTACTACACACACCACAGTCCCTGTCCATTGCCACTCAACAATGCTCTTCTAAGTAGTATAACATCTTACATATTTTGCCTGATTCCGTTATTTTTTCTCTCCCAAATTCCGTTCTCCCCATTTTGTTTTTCCGTTTCCCCTCTTTTTCCCCCCAGATTTTTGCACTAAAATTGGTTGTTCTAAGTCCACAACAATGATTTAACCACATCAGGAGACCACTTTTGAGTCTGGGAAAATTCTGAGACATTTTTATTTTTTTGTGTAGTTACCATTGCGCACCTAGCAATAGGCTATTGTTTAAAAACGTCTGAGCAATAGGCTATTGTTTAAAAACGTCTGAATCTCCCGAGTGGCGCAGTGGTCTAAGGCACTGCATCGCAGTGCTAGCTGTGCCACTAGAGATCCTGGTTCGAATCCAGGCTCTGTCGTAGCCGGCTGCGACCGGGAGACCCATGGGGCGGCGCACAATTGGCCCAGGGTAGGGAAGGGAATGGCCGGCAGTGATGTAGTTCAGTTGGTAGAGCATGGTGTTTGCAATGGCAGGGTTGTGGGTTTGATTCCCATGGGGGGCCATTATGAAAAAAAAAATACAAAAAATAATGTATGCACTCACTAACTGTACGTCGCTCTGGATAAGAGCGTCTGCAAAATGTAAAAATGTTTAGCGATGTTTTTGTAGTGCACATGTGATTATAGAGTTTGCAAAACAAATACCCACTAGATTGATGCAAATAATCATGATATCATTCTGCCAGGTAAGCATAGGTTACTTTGTAGTTAACATTGAACCTTTTACTGCAGTGGGCTAAATCAGAATCACACAGTGCTTCTTGGTAGTCTTAAAGAAATCTACTTTGAAACAAAAGTATACACCTCATACATATGGTTATGGAATTAAAAAAATAAGACACCTGTACCCATGTCAGATATAGAGTTGAAATGTATTACATTGAGTTTGCATCCCAATATTACACTTTATATACATCACAGAAGACTGAAATATAACAAAACCGTTTGACATAGAAACACCTTTATTTTTACAATGTTGATTAAATTATGAAAAATATTAATAACATTCCACCCATGAGGCCACTAGAGGGCGATTTGGTCATTTGACTGCAGGAAAGGGTTTTAATTTTGAAGGTTTTTGTGAAAGCCTTTACATCTACCAGAAGCTTTTTCAGCATCATCCTAACATATCATCCTAAAGGCTATCCAAAGTGGTAGCTGAGCGCACAGCACAGACAGACGGGGAATTCTCATTGCCTCTTCAGGAAGTTGCAGGAAATACGAATCACTGATGCATTCTGTTCATGTCTTATGATAAACTTGGGCAAATTAATAATTTTTCAATACATTTAGTTGATTCCCTACGAAGTTCAATACATTTATTTATATTGTTGAATTCCGTTTTGTTGTCTGGATTGCGTGATTCCGTTCGCATTCTCCATATCGTGGATTTTATATGGCCCTATAAGAGCACCTAATCATTGAAAATAAGCACACGGGAAGGCGCCGGTCGGGTGTTGGGCGAAGGCCACGGTGGGGAAGATGGCGGAAAAGGAAATAAGGAAGAAAGTGGATCTTCTGAAAGATCAGCTGAAGGAGAAGATGATGGACAAGAAAAAAAGGGGGATATCGTCAACATTGAGTTGTGCTGGTGCCTAGATATTGAGATAGGTCTGGGCAATTATTCCCCCCCCCCCTAATGTTAACCACCTTCTTAAAAGTCTGGTATGTGGTTCTCTGTAACGGCCGGACGGCTCATGATGAGAGGCGGGGAGTGTTGTGTAACTCCAATCAAGTTGATTTGCAAATTTTCATCGGCATTGGGGTCATATTGGCTTAGATATAATGGTAGGGAGATTTTAATTTAACATTGAGCTTCAATCAATACCTGGAAGCTCAGAAGTGGTCAAGTATAGAGCTCTACTCAAGGGGGAAGTGTAGTGGCTCTCTGTAGCAGACGGCTGGGAGAGCTTCACAGCAGCTCTTGTCGCTCCAGGTATAGTTTCCCTGGGGGTACAGCGTCATCATGGTACACTGGCCCTGCATGGGGGTCCCTGGCTCGCCCTTGGCCCAGTGGGTGAAGGACACAGCAGCCTTGCTCAGCCAGTACCACTGCCCTGTCAGTGAGCTCCTACGGAGGCCTATCCACACCTGACCCTGTGTCTGTCCCTGAGCCTGGGTCCCAGACTCCATCAGTTTATTGGTCACGTGAAGTAGGAAGTCTTCTGTGTTCAGGCTGACCAGACTGTAGCCCTGGTCTTGGCAGTACTTCAGAGACTCTGGCCAGCCACCCTGCTCGTCCCCAAGTGACACAACCTCTGGCCTCAGCAGACAGCCCTTAGAATCTGTGCATACAAAACGCACACACACACACAGAGAGAGAGAGAGAGCGAGAGAGAGTGAGAGATCAATATATTACTTGAAAAATACTTGCATACAGACACACAGACATGAATGATATGCATAATTCACAGCAATACAACTCAATGAAACCTCTACAACACCATACCTGGATCTGTGCTGAGGCTGTCAGCTGGATTCCCAAAAACCATGCCGTTTACCTCTCCCAGGTAGTAGGCGGCCATTTTGGAGGAACTATGCCAGATGACATGCTTCCTATATTCTGTTCCAAAGTCAATGAGTGCCCAGGAGTACTCCGTCCCCATCATGGGAGTCCATGTGATGTCCAGGGCGGTGTTCCCCTGATGCACCCCCTCTGTCTGGGCTGTAGGGGCTACTAGCAGGGCCTGGTTCTTCACGGCGTTGAGGGAGTGGAGGAGGTAGCAGGAGGAGAAGCTATGCGTTGGGATGAGGCTGAGTAGCAGGCCTGGCCTGAGGAGGGTGAGGGAGACAGGACTGGAGGTCTTGACCAGGGAGGAGCCACCAGGGAGGAAGGGATTGAAGGGCAGCTTGTGGGAAGACTGCAGCTGGAGGGGCTCTGTGGGGGGTCCGCTGAGTAAACTCACACTTTGGTTGGTTGTCAGCAAAAAAGTAGTTTCATTCAAAGCTCCATTCTCAAAAGAGGGGTGCACAAGGTATTCTGACCCCCAAGCTGTGACTGGGTACAGAGGGTTGAACAGAAAACTGCAGGTGCAGTTAGTCACAGTGGCACATGGGTGGCCGTACAGAACTGCCACGGGGTGGTCGGCAGACACGTGTGGTTCTGGCAGCGATCTATTGAGCCAGAGTTAAACCAGTTGGAACGGCTGGAGTGAGACAGTCTTGTCCTCACCCGCTGGCCCTGAGATGGTGACCTTGTTAGTTTCTTTATGGTTAATGATGATGAGACTAAACAAGCGGTTCCGTGGGTCTATTTGAGGCTGAGTGGGCTTCATCTCAGGTATAAGGGGGACATGGTACTCTGTACCCAAGCTCTCCAACGGTGGGACTACCATGGTCTGGATGCTTTCGCCTCTTTGGCTGATGGCAAGGACACTGATGTTGTTGTTGCTGGTCACATGCAGGGTCTGGTTGGAGAATTTTGACCTCTTGAGTTCCTTCATGTTAATATCTGTCTGAATCATAACTTCCTCTCCTGCATTCAGGTTCCTGGTATCTGTGTAACCCAGTTCCTTCATGGTAACAGTTACCGTGGTGCCACTATGTAGGGCTGTGATTACAACTCTGTTGTCAGGCTGAGTGGGATGGTAAAAGGCGATGTTCTCCGGGAATGCAGTGATGAACTCTTTGCCAAAGCTATGAGGAAAAGAGAGTGCTGTGGACGCTAAAGAGGGGTAGAAACAGCGGAAACATCAATTTTCATATACAATCAAAACAATTCTGCTCCAGGATAAGATTATTTAATCAACAAAAAGCCCCAAATGTGTCAAAATACTTATGAGTCTGTGTTTCATATTGTTTAACTAATAAAGGAAATTGTATTTTAGGTGACTATGTGCTGTTGATGACAGACGGGGCGTACTACAGGCCTGATCGGTCTGTTTTCTCTTCATTCAACACAACAGGCTCATCTCAACAGTCTAAAATGGCTTCCTCTCCTATTCTCCTTTCCTTCATCTGCACTGATCTGAAAGGACAGGATAGGTGAAAGCTATACAGTGGATGCAGTAATCTGAAAGGACAGGATAGGTGAAAGCTATACGGTGGATGCAGTAATCTGAAAGGACAGGATAGGTGAAAGCTATACGGTGGATGCAGTAATCTGAAAGGACAGGATAGGTGAAAGCTATACGGTGGATGCAGTAATCTGAAAGGACAGGATAGGTGAAAGCTGTACGGTGGATGCAGTAATCTGAAATGACAAGATAGGTGAAAGCTATACGGTGGATGCAGTAATCTGAAAGGACAGGATAGGTGAAAGCTATACGGTGGATGCAGAATTCTGAAAGGACAGGATAGGTGAAAGCTATACGGTGGATGCAGTAATCTGAAAGGACAGGATAGGTGAAAGCTGTACGGTGGATGCAGTAATCTGAAAGGACAAGATAGGTGAAAGCTATACGGTGGATGCAGTAATCTGAAAGGACAGGATAGGTGAAAGCTATACGGTGGATGCAGAATTCTGAAAGGACAGGATAGGTGAAAGCTATACGGTGGATGCAGTAATCTGAAAGGACAGGATAGGTGAAAGCTATACGGTGGATGCAGTAATCTGAAAGGACAGGATAGGTGAAAGCTATACGGTGGATGCAGTAATCTGAAAGGACAGGATAGGTGAAAGCTGTACAGTGGATGCAGTAATCTGAAAGGACAAGATAGGTGAAAGCTATACAGTGGATGCAGTAATCTGAAAGGACAGGATAGGTGAGAGCTTTACGGTGGATACAGTAATCTGAAAGGACAAGATAGGTGAAAGCTATACGGTGGGTGCAGTAATCTGAAAGGACAGGATAGCTACTGTATATGGTGGATGAATTCACTTCCACCATGTTGTCAGTTTTTCAAAGGAGATGAGATGTATTTATTGAGATGCACCCAGTTTCTCTTCCCCTCTACCTTTACAGCATCTCTAATGACAGAGTAAAAACAGGTCAAAGCTGTTTAAAGGCACAGTCAACTTAGTGTATGTAAACTTCTGACCCACTGAAATAGTGATACAGTGAATTATAAGTGTAATAATCTGTCTGTAAACAATTGTTGGAAAAATTACTTGTGTCATGCAAAGTAGATGTCCTAATCGACTTGCCAAATCTATAGTTTGTTAACAAGAAACTTGTGGAGTGGTTGAAAAATGAGTTTTAATGACTCCAACCTAAGTGTATGTGCTATAAAACATGGTTAAAACTATAATATTGATATCATGCATGGTGCATCCATAGCTCTGTCTATGAATTTGAGTGGTTACATTTCTCCAGCCCCATCCCTCAGTCTTTTAATGAAACAGGGGCAGGGATCTGATCTTGTTATTGTTTCAACTGCTGATTGCTGGTTTATATCGATTTAGGTATCTCTTCAGAAATGCATTTGTTCAGAAACAGTACTGGTACAGGTGATAAATAAAAAACTTAATTCTGAGCTCTTGTTCATTACTTTTCATGTATTATATTTCTTAATTGTTTTTTTATTTAAGTATGATTACAGATTATCCACTAGTTCTCAAAAAAAAAAAGAGTTAACATTGGAATGCTACATTTGTAGAAGCATAAAGACAAAGTAAGTATCCTCTTACCTTCAGGCAGAAACACTCTTCATCTTCCCTCAGTTTACTCACCAGTCAAACTGTCTTGCTTTTCCTCCTTGAAAACACATTGACACATTTCACAGTCAAACTCTTGACATTTGACAACTCTTTGCATTGGAAGCAGACAGAGGCCTGGAATACTGGGATGTGTGTGGGTGAAAGGTGACAGGTGACAGAAAGGGAAGGTTTTGTTAAGTAAAATGGTCATAGCACCATGACACACTCAATTCCATTTCATAGCTTGTTGCCATGCACTCTGATGTTGAAATTCAGTTTCAAACGGTTTTAAATTACAAAATGAAACAGAGTTGACCCCACCCGTTTTAAATGCTTGTACAACATTGTCTTCATCATGCATGGCACAACTGTGTCGTTTTTGTGCCCCTAGTCTACCAGGTTGAAGTATATTATAGTATAACATGGTGGTGATTGGGCTTTATTTTAAGGGGTTTCTTACCATCAACACCAAAAGGTGTACCACAAACACTCACTTTGAATAGTAAATGAGCATTCAAATCATTGTGCACACAATTTCCATAGAAGAAGCACAAACCAAACTGTCATCTGAACACTTAAATCTGAATCTGTGCAGAGAAGCCTATTTGGTATTAATAAGGGGAACCAGATGTAGTCACTAGAATAGAGGGAATCAGACTACTGCAGCATTTTAAAAAGTGGCAATCTGCAGTTTGTTATTGTTCAAAGCAGACACCCTGCCAATGAGGGATGGGGCTGGAGAAATTCAACCACTCAAAATGACTGACCATCCATGATATCAAAATTATAGTTTTAATCATGTTTTGAGGCTATAACAGTTACATTTATATTGTTTACAAACAAAGGACTAAAACAAGCTTTTGGTTTCTGATGGGGTATGACCGTTGAACTAAGCGCATGAGGCATTTATAAGTTATTCTTCAAGACTCAATGGATATATTCATTTTAAAAAGTCAAAAAATGGATGAGGCAATGGCAGATTGCCCCTTTAAATCAAAATGGTGACTTTCAGTCTGCAATGTGCGCTGTGTTTTGTTGGAATTTTAGTGTAGATCACACTTCTGTTTATCACCAAGCAATGCAGCAACAACAACTTGTCAATGATTGAGGCCAACAAATACTGCTACAATGTAGTAACCTTTATTGCTTTCCTTTAACAACTTCATTTCCATAAAAAAAAGTGAATTTGCGTTATCCCCCGGTTCCCCCTCCCAACCTACAGATACATTTACATTTACATTTTAGTCATTTAGCAGACGCTCTTATCCAGAGCGACAGATACCATTCATTGTACAGTTTAAGAACAAATCATTTAAAACTTCACTGATATCAAACCAAATGTCAAAATGAGGCCAATCAGATCCACTTGATAGGGGACTGAAATGTTTAGTCACATGGTGCTGAAAGATCGCCTGTCCTCAGTGGTCGTCACTGGTTTCTGAGTTCCACATAACAGTACTATAGCACAGTTTATTCTGTTTTCTATTGTTGTACAGCGTAGGGAAGATACTGAGAAAAGGCACCTTGGACAGCTCTTAACAAGCTCCCCAGTAGGCTATGTTTCCTAGTCCCAGCCTGCTTAAGTACTCAACTATCAAGAGATCATGCACACCAAGCCAGCGCAAAGTCAGAAAGAACAAGTACGTACGTCAATTTCAAAACATTCATACGTATGGGGCACATTATTACCCAGAGGGCAAAAGAACAGCTGTTAAAGCTGTTCATTTCTAAACTGTATCATAGGATACTAATGATGAGAACTGGTGCACCTTTTCTTGAAATTACTTTTTCGTGTCATCAAGGTGTTTAGATGGAAACTGTCAGTCATCACAATTATTGAAATTGAGGAGTCTCCTCTCTTTATTGAAGTCAAAACAAATTATTGCACCCCGTACGACTTACACCCAATGTTTCATAACCTGGTGTGTAACATCTATTCAAGTGAGGGGCATTGCGTGGATATTTGTATAACACTATAGATTTAAGTAAAACTAATTCAATGTAATTTCACATAATTCAAACTCATGAATTAAACTCAATCACAGAGCCATGAACAGCAGATTGATGCCTTTCCCAGTAGGACTCCAGTAATAGTATACACATTGGATTATCAACTAAAAGCATTGCTGTTCATTAGCACTAAATCCACAGGACAAAGATTATTTAAGATGATATTTTTTTTTTACAAAAATCAGTCTACAACAGAACAATAGCCAATAGAAGAAGAGCGTAGAGAAACCCACCAATCACAGTGTTGTCCAGTGTCAAATAGGAGACAAGGGTTTACAGCTGAAAGAAAGGGAGGGGCAGAGAGAAACACACCAACATCTTCTAGCAACACTAGTAGATTGACAATGAGGGTCAGTGAGTGAGAGCGCTAAAGAGAGAGTGAGAGAGCGAAAGAGAGAGTGAGTGAGAGAGAGCAAGGGAGAGAAAGTGAGTGGGAGAGAGAGAGGGCGATACAGAAAGAGGGAGAGTAACAGAGAGAGACAGAGACACAGAGAGAGAGACAAGGGCCGCATTGAGCCCATTAGTTCCTGAGACTGATCTAAATAGATACATTTATATAAAAAGGTACATATAGCCCCCCCCCCCCCCTCCCCCCATTGTGGTGCGGCAGGCGTTTCTAAAGTGCACAGATATAAAGACAGGAAATAAAGAACATGAATTACCGGCCAGCAACAAACAACGACCCTGCTGTCTCCTCCTGCCCCCTTCCAAACTCTGCAACGTTGACCAATTCAAAATAAATTAAATGCATTACATATTGTAATGATATAGATAAAAATGATTAAAAAAAACAATATAAAATATATACCCCATAACAGAAAATATTCCATTGGATGTAAACCTTTTAACAGGATAAAAGTGGGTTTCCCCTCGTCATCATAACCAAGTGTAGGCTACAGCTCTGGTAAGACTTCCTTGGTGCAGGTGCACTACACTAGATTAAACCCAGGCTACCACAGCCATGTACAATAACATTATTGAACAGCTTTAAACCTGCCCTGAAGAAGGCATCAGTTTTATAAACTTACTCTATACATATTTTCTTCCTTTCAAGTCCACCATTATGTATGTATGGACACTGCAGGCAACACCCTCGCCATTACTCCAAAAGAACAAGACCGCTCAATCGAGAAATGTGAAAACATTTTGTTTTTGAAACTTCATCTTATTATAGTTTGTTTCCAATTTGGGATTGTTTAAGGTTAGTAAGAGATGTTTGGCAATTAATTCAAGAAATATTCTGCAAACTATGGGCTATGCTATGGTCTGTCATGTTCACTTTGACACAACATCTTTAGCCTTTGAACCTACTATGACTGATAATCTGAATCAACAGCACATAGTACACATCACGGTTTCATGACTCTGATATTGTGAAAAGCCATCTTAAGCTGCTCTTCAGTTTCTTACACTTTACTGTACACACCCATGCGCGCGCACACACACACACACACACACAACAGATAAATTAAATATAATATGTGCTCAAATGTGTTTGGACCTTTTGTTGAGCATCACCTGCTTTCTCAAACATAATGTAATTTAAAAACAAACTGTCTATTGTTCAGAGTGAGCCAGATAGAGTGCAGTCGTTGTGCTCAAGCCACCCTGGGTGCATGGACTGCTGTTAGGCCTACCGCTTCCTATGAACCACCTGGGGACAGGTTTTAAATGCTTACAGCAACTCTTATAATATAATGCACTAAGGGCGATAGAGGCCACTATATGCATTCGTAATGCATTGCACTCGAAGGAAGTGTTACGAGGACAGACAGTACAACATATCACAGAGACAGACTATGGACATGTTGGTAAAAAGCCTGATGAAAGTCATTCCAAGAAGACCCAGTTGTTCCTTAAAAAGGCACACCTGAATATAAAGTCAATGTTTTTTCACCTTAAAACGATGATAAAATTAAAAGACAAATTTCCCTCTGACTAATTTCACAATAAGAACTAAAGAAACATGGCTAACTAGAACTGCTTGTGTCTTTGTCTGCCCCCTTGGCGTTGGTTTGGTAGCAGCTGTTAGGGCAGCGGGCAGGCCCATTAAGGACACTGCCCCCTGTTGTGTGGGAGGACAGGAGGACAACGCCATCTGGTAGGCTAGGGGCAGACGTGGCACTCTCCCTGCTCCTCCCGTCCCTCGTTCATAAGGAGGTCTCAGCATCCCCATACTTCTCCCCCTGGTCGTTCTCCAAGTTTATCTTCACACAGGACACCTTCGCCTGGCTGGGAACAGAACAACTCAATCATCATCACCACCGAAATTCAGTTCATTCATTGAAAAATGGCAATTATATCTAAAGATATCTATTCACAATTAATGAATTAAACTTGAATTTCAGTAAGTTAAATCCTCCAAACCCATTCAACAAATGACAACCCAATACAGTAAGTATGAACCCACTCACCACCCCTTTGCCACACAACGTGCAATGTTGCAAACTGTTTAAATGCAACATTGCAAGACTGAACGTACCGCAGGTGGACCCAAATGCTCTTATCTTTGGTTTCTTTGAAAATATTGCCAGTTCTAAGACATTTGCCATACATACAGTACTATTGATTTGCGAGTTGGTGCTTCATAGCATGTCTATTGTGGGTGGGAGTGGTTATAATTAGCCTTCACGCTCTCCAGTCATTGAAAAGGTATGGGTTCAACTTCTGGACTGTATAGGAAAATAGGGTGGAGGCATAGAAGTATGAGGCTGGATTCCAAAAGGGAACACTTGCTCCCTTCTCTGGCCCTCGCCAATCTTGAGAGTAAGCAATAATAGCCTTATACAAGGTTTCATCAATATTCCTCCACACTTAAAAACATGTGATTGAGACATATTGACATGCATGAAATTAATGTAAAATAGTTTCAGAATGCATTTTCAAAAATATTTAAATTGAAAAGTATTTATTTTTTGGTTTAAATATTTTGTCAAATGATTATCAGATGGTGTGATTTTCTGAGAGGGATGGGAGCATGTTTCTGGGTTTGGCCCCAGCAGCCAGCGAGGAAGAGGAAGGATGAACACCTGAACCATACTGAGGAGTAGTTATAGCTACCTGGCACTATGTTTCAGAGCTTTGGCACTGTCAGAGTTCATGGAGACAGATTTCCAATTGGCGGTTTTGTCCATTTCATCAGAAATGTTTACCATAGAGGGGTCCAAACTGCAGGGGAAACACACACACCACAACACCCTCAATCTGGCGTACACAAACACACATTTCCAAGGACACACTACACACACACCCCCAATGTGGGTCTCATTTCTGAAACATAAACTCATGAATTTTATTTTCTTGGCTGCAGTCAACACAGTATTACAGAGGACCCTTAAAAAAACGATCTATCATAACCTTTATAAACTGCAATACTAAGGGAAATTAGCAACTTAGTATAATAGTCGCTTGACTGCAAGGACAGTCTGTGATTGGTTGTTTTTCTGGTGGTTGTCTTTGTGGTTGTTATGGAATTGAGGGTCAGGGGGGTCATGCATCCACTCTGTGATGATGAAGGACATGTTAAACAACACAAATCAAACACGAAGGCTGTATTTCATTGCACAAGGCTGTCCACTCCCATAGGCTCTTCAGAGGGGAGGAAACAGTGGTGTGGAATGAAACCGGTCCGAGGAGGTTATGGGCAGTTAAATCAACAAGGTGGGAAAGTGGCTGCATGAGGGGTGCATGGTGAGACTAGAGCAGGCCTGAGACTGACTGAGAGACCAACCCCTGCTCTCTCCTCTGCGTCGTGTGGCATGTTGAACTCAACACTGCTGTCACACCTGCTTTGGAAGAGACGGGTCAGGGCTTCAAAAGGGGTTACTTTTCCCTTGTAACTGTTACATGAATATACTACTCCATAGTTCTCCAAAGTGCTTCACAATGCATTACAGAACCAGTGAGGAACAGCACTGATGGGCTGTGGTTAATGGGCTGTGACTTTCTCCAAGTATAAAGGACATTGATATACTGCATCAAAAATTGTCCCCAACCACTAACCTGACTTTGAGGGTCTTGAGGACACCCGGCCCGTCGTAGGGGTGTGCTATGCCCTCTTCCACATCCAGCATGCGCTGGGCCTCCTGTAACCATGGAAACAGAGGGAAAGTGTCAGTGGGACCGTCGTTGGCAGCTCTCTGCGTTAGTCTGTAAGAACAGTCGGACACACCTCCTTGGCTTTCTTCTTCTTGTCGTCCTCCTTCTTCTTCTTGCTCTCAGGCATCAGGTCGTCCAGCCAGCTCAGCTCCCTGTTGGTGAAACAGAAGTCCAGCAGCTTCCGTATAAACACCAGGGCCAACACCTAGAGAGACCAAAATAAATCAGTGAGTTGTACTTTTAACTCTTCGTTAAAATGGCGTCATCCTGACAATCTAGTTCTGCGCCGTCTTTTTGCTTGACATATTCTCTCAGTCTTCAGTTTCTACTTCTGTTTTTTGCTAAGAAAGCACCCTACTAACAGCATATTCGTATTCTTACCATCATGGGGAAGACGACGGCGGCTGCGGACGCCTTGATGACCCACAGCAGTACCAGGCAGGTGAGCTGCACCAGGGTGAACACATGGACCTTCCACAGGGGAACGTAGCGCAGGTAGATCAGGTCCGGCTGGTGCTTGGCTGGCATGCAGAACAGCTTGATACGGTCAAAGAACTACAGGAGAGGACAACCACAACACAACCATGTTCAGACCACAGGAGGCTGCTGAGGGGAGGACGGCTCATAATAATGTCTGGAACTGAGTGAATGGAATGGCATCAAACACCTGGAAACCATGTGTTCGATACCATTCCACTAATTCTGCTCCAGCCATTACCACTAGCCCGTTCTCCTCAATTAAGGTACCACCAACCTCCTGTGGTTCAGATGTACCGTTGAGAGAGTGGGGGGGGGGGGGGAGACACTGCAGTGCAAACCTACCTCACTGATCACATGACATAACACCACACAGACTGACCTGGATGCCTTTGAGTGAGGACACACCCATGTAGAGAAACACCCCGTAGAGGACTGGCATAGGGATGAACTAGAAAGACAACACGGGGGACAGAAGTTACTTTTTAGGACTGGCATAGGCATGAACTAGAAAGACAACAGGGGACAGAAGCTACTTTTTAATCATAGTCTTCGCCTTTTTCTCATTTCTTTACCCACAAACCACTAGTGTGCTAAATAATACTTCCCTTTCCTCATCACTTTCTGGTATCGAAAGGAAATGATGTTCCAAAACAGTGAAAGGATGTTGCCTATGGATTGTTCTTGAATTAAGGTGGCATTTGGGCATGGCATTTTGGAAATAATTCTAAATAAACTAATGACTTTAAATATTTTTTACCGTTATGATAACATTGTGACACCAGTTGGAGTAGTAACACCAATAATACTAAAAGGGTGTGTGCGATTGGCTAATAATTTTCTTGAATATAGACCACTCCCCTGATAGCAGTTTGCCACTAGAGGGAATGGTCAATGTCCTTGTACAGTTGAAGTCGGAAGTTTACATACACATCGGTTGGAGTCATTAAAACTTGTTTTTCAACCACTCCACAAATTTCATGTTAACAAACTATAGTTTTGGCAAGTCGGTTAGGACATCTACTTTGTGCATGACACAAGTCATTTTTCCAACAATTGTTTACAGACAGATTATTTCACTTATAGTTCACTGTATCACAATTCCAGTGGGTCAGAAGTTTACATACACTACGTTGACTGCCTTAAAACAGCTTGGAAAATTCCAGAAAATGATGTCATTGCTTTAGAAAACTTCTGATAGGCTAATTGAAATAATTTGAGTCAATTGGAGGTGTACCTGTGGATGTATTTCAAGGCCTACCTTCAAACTCAGTGCCTCTTTGCTTGACATCATGGGAAAATCAAAAGAAATCAGCCAAGACCTCCAAAAAAATGTTTGGACCTCCACAAGTCTGGTTCATCCTTGGGAGCAATTTCCAAACGCCTGAAGGTACCACGTTCATCTGTACCATGGGACCACGCAGCCGTCATACCGAAAATAGAACTGTAGAACTGTTTGGCCATAATGACCATCGTTATGTTTGGAGGAAAAAGGTGGATGCTTGCAAGCCGAAGAACAACATCCCAACCGTGAAGCACGGGGGTGGCAGCATCATGCTGTGGGGGTGCTTTGCTGCAGGAGGGGCTGGTGTACTTCACAAAATAGACGGCATCATGAGGAAGGAAAATTATGTGGATATATTGAAGCAACATCTCAAGACATCAGTCAGGAAGTTAAAGCTTGGTCGCAAATGGGTCTTCCAAATGGACAATGACCCCAAGCATACTTCCAAAGTTGTGGCAAAATGGCTTAAGGACAACAAAGTCAAGGTATTGGAGTGGCCATCACAAAGCCCTGACCTCAATCCTATAGAAGATTTGTGGGCAGAACTGAAAAGGCGTGTGCGAGCAAGGAGGCCTACAAACCTGACTCAGTTACACCAGCTCTGTCTGGAGGAATGGGCCAAAATTCACCCAACTTATTGTGGGAAGCTTGTGGAAGGCTACCCGAAACGTTTGACCCAAGTTAAACAATTTAAAGGCAATGCTACCAAATACTAATTGAGTGTATGTAAACTTTTGACCCACTGAGAATGTGATGAAAGAAATAAAAGCTGAAATAAATCATTCTCTCTACTATTATTCTGACATTTCACATTCTTAAAATAAAGTGGTGATCCTAACTGACCTAAGACAGGGAATTTTTACTAGGATTAAATGTCAGGAATTGTGAGAAACTGAGTTTAAATGTATTTGGCTAAGGTGTATGTAAACTTCCGACTTACATCTACATTTTAGTCATTTAGCAGACGCTCTTATCCAGAGCGACTTACAGTTAGTGAGTGCATTAATTATTATTATTATTTTTTCATACTTCAACTGTATATCTTAATAAAATCAGTGATTTTCAAGGCGGTAACACCAATGACAAAACTGAGGGATACACAATATACTAGTAAAAAAACAAAACGATATATATATATACAGTGGGGAGAACAAGTATTTGATACACTGCCGATTTTGCAGGTTTTCCTACTTACAAAACATGTAGAGGTCTGTAATGTTTATCATAGGTACACTTCAACTGTGAGAGATGGAATCTAAAACAAAAAAATCCAGAAAATCACATTGTATGATTTTTAAGTAATTAATTTGCATTTTATTGCATGACATAAGTATTTGATACATCAGAAAAGCAGAACTTAATATTTGGTACGGAAACCTTTGTTTGCAATTACAGAGATCATACGTTTCCTGTAGGTCTTGACCAGGTTTGCACACACTGCAGCAGGGATTTTGGCCCACTCCTCCATACAGACCTTCTCCAGATCCTTCAGGTTTCGGGGCTGTCGCTGGGCAATACGGACTTTCAGCTCCCTCCAAAGATTTTCTATTGGGTTCAGGTCTGGAGACTGGCTAGGCCACTCCAGGACCTTGAGATGCTTCTTACGGAGCCACTCCTTAGTTGCCCTGGCTGTGTGTTTCGGGTTGTTGTCATGCTGAAAGACCCAGCCACGACCCATCTTCAATGCTCTTACTGAGGGAAGGAGGTTGTTGGCCAAGATCTCGCAATACATGGCCCCATCTATCCTCCCCTCAATACGGTGCAGTCGTCCTGTCCCCTTTGCAGAAAAGCATCCCCAAAGAATGATGTTTCCACCTCCATGCTTCACGGTTGGGATGGTGTTCTTGGGGTTGTACTCATCCTTCTTTTTCCTCCAAACACGGTGAGTGGAGTTTAGACCAAAAAGCTCTATTTTTGTCTCATCAGACCACATGACCTTCTCCCATTCCTCCTCCGGATCATCCAGATGGTCATTGGCAAACTTCAGACGGGCCTGGACATGCGCTGGCTTGAGCAGGGGGACATTGCGTGCGCTGCAGGATTTTAATCCATGACGGCGCAGTGTGTTACTAATGGTTTTCTTTGAGACTGTGGTCCCAGCTCTCTTCAGGTCATTGACCAGGTCCTGCCGTGTAGTTCTGGGCTGATCCCTCACCTTCCTCATGATCATTGATGCCCCACGAGGTGAGATCTTGCATGGAGCCCCAGACCGAGGGTGATTGACCGTCATCTTGAACTTCTTCCATTTTCTAATAATTGCGCCAACAGTTGTTGCCTTCTCACCAAGCTGCTTGCCTATTGTCCTGTAGCCCATCCCAGCCTTGTGCAGGTCTACAATTTTATCCTTGATGTCCTTACACAGCTCTCTGGACTTCGCCATTGTGGAGAGGTTGGAGTCTGTTTGATTGAGTGTGTGGACAGGTGTCTTTTATACAGGTAACGAGTTCAAACAGGTGCAGTTAATACAGGTAATGAGTGGAGAACAGGAGGGCTTCTTAAAGAAAAACTAACAGGTCTGTGAGAGCCGGAATTCTTACTGGTTGGTAGGTGATCAAATACTTATGTCCTGCAATAAAATGCAAATTAATTACTTAAAAATCATACAATGTGATTTTCTGGATTTTAGTTTTAGATTCCGTCTCTCACAGTTGAAGTGTACCTATGATACAAATTACAGACCTCTACATGCTTTGGAAGTAAGAAAACCTGCAAAATTGGCAGTGTATCAAATACTTGTTCTCCTCACTGTACACATACACACGGTGAGGGAAAAACGTTTGCCCACTGACAAAGAAATGATCAGTCTATAATTTTAATGGTAGGTTTATTTGAACAGTGAGAGACAGAATAAAATAAAATAAATCCAGAAAAACGCGTGTCAAAAATTTTATAAATTGATTTGCATTTTAAATGAGGGAAATAAGTATTTGACCCCTCTGCAAAACATGACTTAGTACTTGGTGGCAAAACCCTTGTTGGCAATCACAGAGGTCAGACGTTTCTTGTAGTTGGCCACCAGGTTTACACACATCTCAGGAGGGATTTTGTCCCACTCCTCTTTGCAGATCTTCTCCAATTCATTAAGGTCTCGAACCTTCAGCTCCCTCCACAGATTTTCTATGGGATTAAGGTCTGGAGACTGGCTAGGCCACTCCAGGACCTTAATGTGCTTCTTCTTGAGCCACTCCTTTGTTGCCTTGGCCATGTGTTTTGGGTCATTGTCATGCTGGAATACCCATCCACAACCCATTTTCAATGCCCTGGCTGAGGGAAGGAGGTTCTCACCCAAGATTTGACGGTACATGGCCCCGTCCATCGTCCCTTTGATGCGGTGAAGTTGTCCTGTACCCTTAGCAGAAAAACACCCCCAAAGCATAATGTTTCCACCTCCATGTTTGACGGTGGGGATGGTGTTCTTGGGGTCATAGGCAGCATTCCTCCTCCTCCAAACACGGCGAGTTGAGTTGATGCCAAAGAGCTCGATTTTGGTCTCATCTGACCACAACACTTTCACCCAGTTCTCCTCTGAATCATTCAGATGTTCATTGGCAAACTTCAGACGGGCATGTATATGTGCTTTCTTGAGCAGGGGGACCTTGCGGGCGCTGCAGGATTTCAGTCCTTCACGGCATAGTGTGTTACCAATTGTTTTCTTGGTGACTATGGTCCCAGCTGCCTTGAGATCATTGACAAGATCCTCCTGTGTAGTTCTGGGCTGATTCCTCACCGTTCTCATGATCATTGCAACTCCACGAGATGAGATCTTGCATGGAGCCCCAGGCCGAGGGAGATTGACAGTTATTTTGTTTCTTTCATTTGCGAATAATCGCACCAACTGTTGTCACCTTCTCACCAAGCTGCTTGGCGATGGTCTTGTAGCCCATTCCAGCCTTGTGTAAGTCTACAATCTTGTCCCTGACCTCATTGGAGAGCTCTTTGGTCTTGGCCATGGTGGAGAGTTTGGAATCTGATTGATTGATTGCTTCTGTGGACAGGTGTCTTTTATACAGTTAACAAACTGAGATTAGGAGCACTCCCTTTAAGAGTGTGCTCCTAATCTCAGCTCGTTACCTGTATAAAAGACACCTGGGAGCCAGAAATCTTTCTGATTGAGAGGGGGTCAAATACTTATTTCCCTCATTAAAATGCAAATCAATTTATAACATTTTTTACATGCGTTTTTCTGGATTTTTTTGTTGTTATTCTGTCTCTCACTGTTCAAATAAACCTACCATAAATATTATAGACTGATCATTTCTTTGTGAATGGGCAAACGTACAAAATCAGCAGGGGATCAAATACGTTTTCCCCTCACTGTACATGTTATGTACAGTACCAGTCAAATGTTTGGACACACCTACTCATTCAAGGGTTTTTCTTTATTTTTACTATTTTCTACATTGTAGAATAATAGTGAAGAAATCAAAACTATGAAATACCACATATGGAATCATGTAGTAGTGAAAAAAGTGTTAAAAAAATCTAAATATATTTTATATTTGAGATTCTTCAAAGTAGCCACCCTTTGCCTTGATGACAGCTTAGCACGCTCTTGGCATTCTCTCAACCAGCTTCATGAGGTAGTCACCCGGAATGCATTTCAATTAACACGTGTGCCTTGTTAAAAGTTTATTTGTGGAATTTCTTTCCTTCTTAATGCGTTTGAGCCAATCAGTTGTGTTGTGACAAGGTAGGGGTGGTATACAGAAGATAGCCCTATTTGGTAAAAGACCAAGTCCATATTATGGCAAGAACAGCTCAAATAAGCAAAGAGAAATGACAGTCCATCATTACTTTAAGACATGAAGGTCAGTCAATACGGAAAATGTCAAGAATTTTGAACGTTTCTTCTAGAGTTAACTGCACCTCAGATTGCACAGAGTTCAAGTAACAGACACATCTCAACATCAACTGTTCAGAGGAGACTGCGTGAATCAGGCATTCATGGTCGAATTGCTACAAAGAAACCACTACTACTAAAGAACACTAAGAAGAAGAAGAGACTTGCTTGGGCCAAGAAACACGAGCAATGGACATTAGACCGGTGGAAATCTGTCCATTGGTCTGATGAGTCCAAATTTGAGATTTTTGGTTCCAACCGCCGTGTCTTTGTGAGACGCAGAGTAGTTGAACGGATGATCTGTGTGTGTGGTTCCCACCGTGAAGCATGGAGGAGGAGGTGTGATGGTGCTTTGCTTGTGCCATTGTCAGTGATTTATTTAGAATTCAAGGCACACAACCACCATGGCTACCACAGCATTCTGCAGCAATACGCCATCCAATCTGATTTCCACTTAGTGGGACTATCATTTGTTTTTCAACAGGACAATGACCCAAAACACACCTCCAGGCTGTGTAAGGGCTATTTGACCAAGAAGGAGAGTGCTGCATCAGATTACCTGGCCTCCACAATCACCTGATCTCAACCCAATTGAGATGGTTTGGGATGAGTTGGACCGAAGAGTGAAGGAAAAGCAGCCAACAAGTGCTCAGCATGTGGGAACTCCTTCAAGACTGTTGGAAAAGCATTCCTCATGAAGCTGGTTGAGAGAATGCCAAGAGTGTGCAAAGCTGTCATCAAGGCAAAGGGTGGCTACTTTGAATAATCAAAAATATATTTTGATTTGTTTAACACCGTTTTGGTTACTACATGATTCCATATGTGTTATTTCATAGTTTTGATGTCTTCACTATTATTCTACAATGTAGAAAATAGTAAAAATAAAGAAAAACCCTTGAATGAGTAGGTGTGTCCAAACTTTTGACTGGTAATAAATATATATATATATATATATATATATATATATATATATATATATATACACACAGTGGGGGAAAAAAGTATTTAGTCAGCCACCAATTGTGCAAGTTCTCCCACTTAAAAAGATGAGAGAGGCCTGTAATTTTCATCATAGGTACACGTCAACTATGACAGACAAATTGAGAAAAAAATATCCAGAAAATCATATTGTAGGATTTTTAATAAATTTATTTGCAAATTATGGTGGAAAATAAGTATTTGGTCACCTACTAACACGCAAGATTTCTGGCTCTCACAGACCTGTAACTACTTCTTTAAGAGGCTCCTCTGTCCTCCACTCGTTACCTGTATTAATGGCACCTGTTTGAACTTGTTATCAGTATAAAAGACACCTGTCCACAACCTCAAACAGTCACACTCCAAACTCCACTATGGCCAAGACCAAAGAGCTGTCAAAGGACACCAGAAACAAAATTGTAGACCTGCACCAGGCTGGGAAGACTGAATCTGCAATAGGTAAGCAGCTTGGTTTGAAGAAATCAACTGTGGGAGCAATTATTAGGAAATGGAAGACATACAAGACCACTGATAATCTCCCTTGATCTGGGGCTCCACGCAAGATCTCACACCGTGGGGTCAAAATGATCACAAGAACGGTGAGCAAAAATCCCAGAACCACACGGGGGGACCTAGTGAATGACCTGCAGAGAGCTGGGACCAAAGTAACAAAGCCTACCATCAGTAACACACTACGCCGCCAGGGACTCAAATCCTGCAGTGCCAGACGTGTCCCCCTGCTTAAGCCAGTACATGTCCAGGCCCGTCTGAAGTTTGCTAGAGTGCATTTGGATGATCCAGAAGAGGATTGGGAGAATGTCATATGGTCAGATGAAACCAAAATATAACTTTTTGGTAAAAACTAAACTCGTCGTGTTTGGAGGACAAAGAATGCTGAGTTGCATCCAAAGAACACCATACCTACTGTGAAGCATGGGGGTGGAAACATCATGCTTTGGGGCTGTTTTTCTGCAAAGGGACCAGGACGACTGATCCGTGTAAAGGAAAGAATGAATGGGGCCATGTATCGTGAGACTTTGAGTGAAAACCTCCTTCCATCAGCAAGGGCATTGAAGATGAAACGTGGCTGGGTCTTTCAGCATGACAATGATCCCAAACACACCGCCCGGGCAACGAAGGAGTGGCTTCGTAAGAAGCATTTCAAGGTCCTGGAGTGGCCTAGCCAGTCTCCAGATCTCAACCCCATAGAAAATCTTTGGAGGGAGTTGAAAGTCTGTGTTGCCCAGCAAAACAGCCCCAAAACATCACTGCTCTAGAGGAGATCTGCATGGAGGAATGGGCCAAAATACCAGCAACAGTGTGTGAAAACCTTGTGAAGACTTACAGAAAACGTTTGACCTGTGTCATTGCCAACAAAGGGTATATAACAAAGTATTGAGAAACTTTTGTTATTGACCAAATACTTATTTTCCACCATAATTTGCAAATAAATTCATAAAAAATCCTACAATGTGATTTTCTGGAAAAAAAATTCTAATTTTGTCTGTCATAGTTGACGTGTACCTATGATGAAAATTACAGGCCTCTCTCATCTTTTTAAGTGGGAGAACTTGCACAATTGGTGGCTGACTAAATACTTTTTTTCCCCACTGTATATATATCCCTTGACTTTGGTATCATGTAGAAAGACTAAAATGACATTTTTATATATATATTATATATATATATAAAAATGTCATTTTAGTCTTTCTACATCGTACCAAAGTCAAGGGACAGCATTTACCAAATCAATTCAAGAATGATCCCTATAACAGAGTCTCATCTTGATTTGGAACATCCTACCAGTCTATAACAGAGTCTCATCTCACCTTGAGCACAGAGGTCATGAAGACGGAGCAGCCCATGAGGATGAAGATCATGAAGCTGGTGACCCTCTGCTCTCTGATCCCCAGGAACTTGGGCTGTTCCCCGGGGGCCGAGCACTCAGACTCCAGCTTCAGACTGTTGACGTGGGAGATGGAGAGCACAGTGGCTGCTACGAACCAGGGCAGGCCCATGATGGAGCACACCCCCAGCATCACAGACACCACCAGAAGATCCAGGTGGTAGCCACAGCCTTTCTGTTAGGTGGGGGGGGGGCACAGTCAGGAGAGAGGCCAACCAGGGAGGGGGTGAGACAGTCAGGAGAGGCCAACCAGGACACAATACAGAGCAAAGGATGTCCATGATACTAGTATCTCCCAAGCTCAAACTCTCTCGAAACGCACGCAGATGTTGAAAGCAAATCATAGATTTTTCTAAACCTATCGTTGTTATTTAAGGTAAATAGTGTTGGCCTCACCCCAGTCTGGAAATCCAGACCTTGTGTACCTGGTCATGGTTCAAGTAGTGACCTGATCTTGTATTGCTACACATTTACATTTACATTTACGTCATTTAGCAGACGCTCTTATCCAGAGCGACTTACATTATTATTATTTTTTTCATACCCCCTGTGGGAATCGAACCCACAACCCTGGCGTTGCAAACGCCATGCTCTATCAACTGAGCTACATCCCTGCCGGCCATTCCCTCCCCTACCCTGGACGACGCTGGGCCAATTGCGCGCCGCCCCATGGGTCTCCCGGTCACGGCCGGCTACGACAGAGCCTGGATTCGAACCAGGATCTCTAGTGGCACAGCTAGCACTGCGATGCAGTGCCTTAGACCACTGCGCCACTCAGGAGACTACACAATATGCAAGTGCCGCGTTTCCTCTTTGTCACAACCCCTCTCTCTCTCTCTACATATTAGTTTCTGTCTTCCAGTCTTTGTCTCTCACCTTGAGTTTGTGCTCCTTCCTGTTGATGATGACGGCGGTGATCTGTTGATCCATGAAGATGAGGATTGTGCAGAGCAGGGCAGGAATGGCTGCAGCCAGCATGGTCCACCAGGGGTTGGTACCCAGCGGGGAGATCAGCCAGCCACGGTTCTTAGATGTGGGCTAGAGGAGCAGGCATGGTCAGGAAAGAACGTCACAACACATACAGTAAACCAGAGAGTCTCAAATAACAGGTTGATAATACTCTAAAATAGGCCAGTGCTATCCAGGTTTCTCTTTTTTTATAACTGGAAGTTGACAAAATAAATGAGTTAATATTTTCCTTACCTTGATCTCTCAACCAAATCCATTGATAATCAGGACATGGTTATTTCTCTTATCTAGTCTATTTAGGACATTCTTTATCTATTCAGAGTGTCAAGGTTTGTTAGAGCCCCAACACAAATACTTTAAACAAACAACTCTGACCCAGATAAGCACAAAGACACACACAGGCTCCTGGCTGTTATAGCTTAGTGAACTTGGCACATACACCTAACTGATCTAGTTGGTAACCTGACGTACAGTATAATAGTAGGCTGTTAGGGGACTAAATGAAACTTTGGTTTTAGTGTTATACAGTTTTGGTACAATTTTATAAATGGCGACAGATAATTTGTTCGTTCGACATGGTGGGATCTTTTTGTTTCGGTAAAATTAATTATGCGAGAAATGGGGGTGGAAACGTCTTTATGTGCAAATGTTGATATAATAACTGTCATATCGAAGTAAACTTGGGAGTCGCGATGAGATGGTGTGTGGTCCTCCCACTACGACTCGGGAAACCATGCAGTTTATTAGGCTACAGATGAAATAAGTTAGGATGCTGGAGGTGAGGAGCTTGATGCTCCTTTCCAATAAATAGCGAGGGTCTTATTCTGGCGACATGATGGTCAATGTTTGGAAAATAAAAACAGTCTTGCTCTCATACATAATCATCTCAATGTAGACTAGCCTACCTGCACAGCCTTCCATACTGTATCAGAGCTGTTGGCTGGAGCGCACGTGCGAAGACCAGAGTAGGCACATTTGCTATTTAACGCGACAGTTTCTGTGAAAAACTACCGGTAGAGTTGAAAATGCGATGGAAACACATTGAACTTTAGATTTGTATTCGGTACATGAAAACGAAAAGGTACATTTTGTGTGCACTACGTCATCACGCACATCAAACACCACTGGTGGGAAAATGTGCGTATTTTCTTTATGCAGATTTTTGAATATTTGCATGAAAATCTGTCGCCACGGAAACCTAACTACTGTAATGACATTTTCAGGACTAATGTAAAACACAGAGATGATTCAAATAAAAGTAAAAAGCTATATTACGCAAATTAGGCACTTAATATGCTAATTAGGCAGTACGGAATACATAATTACAGTAATTTAAGCCCAATAATTTAAGGTAGGGTTGTCACATTAACACATTTTAATGCTTTATGCAAAACCGTTAGTAACAATTTGAAACCATTTATGAAATTATAATAAAACGTTTTATACTACTTTATGCAAATTAGATACTTAACACACACACACACACACCCCAACACAGACAAACACTTCTCAGCATCCTCATACTCACACAGCACCCCCACACACACTAAGTCTGAACTGTAACACAGAAGGCTACTAGTGTAATAACATAGCTTACTTTTAAAAGGTAGACCTACACTGGAGTTAGGTTACATTGTAATGTTATTTTTGGTGTTGATGAGTTACTTTGGTGATGGGAAGATAAACTGCAGAAAATAATTAGCCTAGGCATAGAAAGATAGATGGGAAATTTTTAATTCACTGGTATTTAACTATGTTTTTCATCGATTGTCGGGCTGTAGCCACTGAGTTTTTACTTGAAAGAATAAAACCAATCACAAAATTCGCCGCTGGCACATTACAACCACTGCTGCCTCTCGCATGGCTCAATGCCTCAGCAAACTGAGTCATGCATTCCCACACAGCTAGCAATCTAGCGCTCATCATGGAAATGGGGGCGGCAAAACGTGAATTTGGACCAATCCCTGACAACCCATAAACGTAGCTACGAAGCTCTACTTTGTAACCTGCTATGTTTTTTTCATGTCTCTGAAATCAGCTGAATGACAGAAGCGAAGCGAAAAACGTTTTACCTTACATTTCAGTGAAAAGACGTCAGATGACCATGAAACACAGTCAGGACATTCCAATACTTCTTAGCAATACAATGTAACATCGATCTTACTCTGATAGGTTGAGGAATACCTTCCACCAAGAGCAAATATGAACACAACGATTTTGCGGGATTCACAAGATTCCCACAGATTTGAACGTTCTTAGCATGGTACTTGCTTTACATTTGGGCTTATACCTCGTAAAATGTCACATTCAGTATTGTGATTTTTAGACATGGTTAACAATTGCCATGTTAATGTTTTCAAATGATTTATGATGTATTTTGATGACCACATTGACATGTAGTCTTATTTTTTATTACAATTCTCGCATAGCGTCCATTGTTTGTGGTGTCACCTAACACCCTAATAAAAATAGCAGTATCTAGGAGTACTGTATGCAATTCTCAATGGACCTTTTTCCAATATCTGAGATATTCAGATATAACCATTTAGACTTTTTTTTTACGGTTGCAAACAATTTAAAGCCCAGAACTAAACAAAATTCAGAGTTAACTGTTTGAAACCAATACGTACCTCAAAGCGGTCAGGCACACTCAGTTTGGGGGAGGGAATGCCCACCAGGTAGTCCACCAGGACCATGATCATGATGGTCAGGAAGACCGCAAAGTCACTGATGGTCGACCGTACCTGGAACACAGAAGGACCGAGAGTGAGAACGAGGTAAAGGTTCAAGTATAGAGGATCAAACGAAGGGAAAGAGCAGGGTGGTATGGGCCTAAACTCACTAGTAAACAACCCTGACAGACACACAGCATTCCTACTCTAATGCCAAACCTTGGTGGGAAAGTAGAGCTTGGTCTTGAACTGCTTGAGGAAGGAGGAGAGGAAGAAGGTGGTGAAGAAGAGGATGACGGACCAGAAGAGGACGTCAGGGATGTAGGGACCGTGGTGGCTGCAGGCTGGCCCAAATAACTCCCCACGCAGCCTAGAACACTCCTACAACACAGAGACCGGGGGAAGGGACAGTTGAGGGTTGTCAAAATCCAAATAAATGTTATGTCCATGCATGAAAACGTCAATATATTTTACTATTGAAATGGGAAAACAGTACGAGACAGATTACAACAATAAAAATGTACCATGGCCCCCCATAAGCACGTGCACGCAAACACACACACACACCCAGGGGCGCAACTTTGGTTTTAGAAGTGGGGGGGACATAATTATTTTTAATTTTTTATCCAGTAGGATAAACACTCCAAACAGCCTACCAGACCGCTCGGCGGCGTCCGCATGGTCCTAAAGCACACCTTTGCCTAGTTTTGTATCACATTCAATGATAAAACTGGGCAGGTTTTGTATCACATTCAATGATAAAACTGGGCGGGACAAAAATGTAATTTCAGAACATTGGGTGGGGGGGGACATGTTGCGCCCCTGCACACACCACTTACTGTGACATCCAGTTGGGTCCAAGAAATTGATTCTGGTGCGACCTGGCTGTGGTTCCAGACCTGCTGGATCTCAGGCGTGACATTAACAGGCGGAGAACATTGACACCTGAGACAGAGAAGGAACATTAACCTCTACACCGTTCACCTTCTAGAACTGACCTTCTAACTAAACACCTGGGGTAGTTTGGATGTGCAGAGTACACTTCCTTTGAACTATGTAGAAGGTTGTAGCGCAGTGTTCTTACGTGTAGAAGGTAAGGTTGTAGCTCAGTGTTCTTACATGTAGAAGGTAAGGTTGTAGCTCAGTGTTCTTACATGTAGAAGGTAAGGTTGTAGCTCAGTGTTCTTACATGTAGAAGGTAAGGTTGTAGCTCAGTGTTCTTACATGTAGAAGGTGAGGTTGTAGCTCAGTGTTCTTACATGTAGAAGGTAAGGTTGTAGCTCAGTGTTCTTATGTGTAGAAGGTGAGGTTGTAGCTCAGTGTTCTTACGTGTAGAAAGTGAGGTTGTTCAGCTCATTGTTCATGTTGATGGGGTAGAGTTCTCCCAGGTGAACCAGCTTCTCCAGGGCCTCATAGATGAAGATGATGCAGATGAGCGCTGCGAAGGCTTCCTCCGTGAAGCGGGTGATGTAACAGACCAGGGAGCTGGCGTCCGTGGCAACCAGGACGAGGCACAGGAAGGCCGTCCACAGGCCGATGCTGGTCCTCAAGGACAGGTAGGACAGGTCGTAGTCACTGGACAAGGGGAGAGGGAGACAGAGGGTTAGGGAGACCCACACACAATACTAAACAACTAATATGGACAACTTAAAGTACTGGCATTGGTCCTACACAACCCTGATATGTCACAAAAAGGATAAATAATTTCAAACTTACAGAAGTAGGAATCCTAAAACTGAATAAGCAACAACCCTTGAACCATGACCAGGTACACAAGGTCTGGATTTCCATACTGGGGGGAGACATACACTATTTACCGGCAATAGGTTTAGAAAAAGCAATGACTCAGGGAATCTGTTTGCTTGCAACATCAGTGTGTGTGTGTGTGTGTTTGTTTATCTGTCTCTATAAAGAGCCCAGGAGAGTGGACCCGGTTACAGTCTTCCTCTTCTCTCTGACCCTTTTGATCACACACAGAGGAGAGAGATAATGGCACCCTGCAGCCTTCCACTGCTGGCCCTGGCCTGCCTGTCTCTGTCGGTCACAGCTCAGCCCACCGGGGGGGAACAGGACATCCCCTCCATTGTCAGACAGATCATGGACACTGTGGCAAAGGTGAAGGAAAGGTCTGACCTAACAGCCAGCGTGCTCGGTAAGATGGACCTGGGAAACATGATTTATGCTGTGACGATTTAGGTTGTGTGTGTGTGTGTGTGTGTGTGTGTGTGTGTGTGTGTGTGTGTGTGTGTGTGTGTGTAAGCCTGAAATGCCACTATGCATGTGCAGTGGAATAGAGGGAGTTTGTATAAAGACAGATCTCTGTACAATGAAAGTGAGTGTATTCTCATTGTTTCTAGCTATGAAAGAGAGAATGGAATCCATGGAGAAAGAGCTGTAGGCACTGAAAGGTGAGAAAGATGCAACACTCCACAGAACATATGATGCAACTGATAAGAATGTGGTGAGGTTGCACACATGCGTAGACGCATAGACAATTATGAGAACCACTGGTATGTTGATAAATGAATGAAATGTGCATTCCACAGACATTCCTAAGGTGGCGTTCGCGGCATCACTGGGAGGCGATGGACCCCAAAAGACAGGCAACTTCAACAAAAAGCTGGTCTACAAAAAGGTCTTGACAAATGTTGGTGGTGCATACAACGTAGAGACAGGTAATACACACACACACACACAAACCCTCTCCTCATTCTTCCCCTGTTAAAAACAACCCTGTCCTCTCAGGTGAATTCACGGCCCCGATTCGTGGAGTCTACTACATCCGGTTCACGGCCAACGGTCCCTCGGACTTCACCCTGAGCTCCATGCTGTATAAGAACGGTGGCCAAGTCCTTCTGGCTGCTCACGAGAGTCCGTCCGGCGAGGGCAGCGACACGGCATCTAACGGAGCAGCTCTATTGCTGGAGGAGGGAGACAGTCTGCAAATGGTGCTGTGGGCCAACACCCAGGTCTGGGACAACGACAACCACCACAGCACCTTCAGCGGCTTCCTCCTCTTCCCCATGCCAGAGCAGAAAAGCAATAGGTCTACATCCCTCCTCTTCCCCATGCCAGAGCAGCCAGAGACATAGATCTTCATCCCTCCTCTTCCCCATGCCAGAGCAACCAGAGACATAGGTGTACATACACAGTAGCATTGTTTTCCACTGTTTTCAACTGTTGTTAAATCATTGACTGAATTAAAAATAACATTGGAGGTGAACGACTGCTTATTCCGCATATTAGACTGGGCGTTTAGCTTATGACTATTTTACCCCCAGTAGGAACATAAGTTATTTTCCAGTAGATTAAAGATAATTTATCTTAACTCTTGAGATGATCTTTCCTCTTTGAATACTAGGGCCTAATACCATAATACACCGCAATTTCATTACAGACGGTTGGTCCTCTTCCATTTCAGTTGAGTGTAGGTGTCAGTCTTCTCCTTACCAGCAGATGGCGCTATAGTAACACCATTTCCAGATCTGCTTTACAGTGGGCTGGCCCACCAGCCCTGTAGCCTTACAATGTGGACAGGCTTTCAAGTTGTTGACCACAGTTGAATCTGATGTTTTAGTGCTAGGCTGGATATGTTTCCATCATATTGCTCATCAAATCCTTCCAGATGAAGGAAGGAAAGGAAACAAGAAGGAAAGGAGACAAGAGAAGGTGTTCTTAGGAGGGAAAGGAGACAAGAGAAAGTGTTCTTAGGAGGGAAAGGAGTCAATTGAAGGACAAAGGACAAGTGAAGGAAAGGAGACAAGTGAAGGAAAGGAGACAAGTGAAGGAAAGGAGAAAAAAAAAAAGGAGACAAGAGAAGGAGGTGTTTGAGGAAGGAAAGGAGACATGAGAAGGAAAGTAAAGGAGAGAAAGAGGCATGGTTCATACACATTTTGACACATGGAATTTCATGACTTTTCCATGACTTCTCCATGACTTTTATTAAAATTTGCTGCTGCAATGTCCGACTGTCTCTCTCTTCTTGAGCAACGGCCCACTAGTCTAGCACTATGCAGGTGATGCTCGCAAACACCGATGCGCTAATGTCATTCCGATCCTGGCTGATATGTCGATTTTTATTTGATTTATAAATTACTTAAAAACTGTGCCTAAAACAATTACATTAACAGAAATTAATTTTTCCATTAAGTTTGAAAAACATTTTCAGATTTGATCATTTTCCAAAACTTTCCCAGACCTGGAAAACACCATTTAAAAATTCTATGACTTTTCCAGGATTTCCATGACCATACGAACCCTGAGGAGGTGTTTGAGACAGTTGGGACACGGCTCCAGCAGTAGCCTGGACGCTCACCTGCAGAATTTGAAGAGGATCTTCTCAAAGACCAGGACTGGCCCAGTGCTGCCCAGGATGGTGAGTGGCTGGCCCGCAAACATGGAGAAGGCCACGCCCGTCAGAGACGCCCCGAACAACGACTCGATCGCACTCTGGGTGTGGAAGGGAGCGAGAGAGGAGAGAGACAGAGGGAGTGGAATGGAGGGGAGATTAGACAAAGATGGTGAGTAATTAAACATTTCTATCACAAACTCATCAATAACTGTTGACAAATACACAATATTTCCCATTAGTTTTTTGGTGACATCACTCACAATGTTTCCCTTGGTGGCCTCGCCCAGCAGGCCTCCGAAAGTGATGACAGGGGACATGCAGGCGCAGTAGAGGAACAGTACAGAGGCCAGGCACTGCAGGCTCAGAGCATCCCTAATATCTCTCCACAGGAACGGAGCTTTTCTTCTTACATCCATCACCAGGCCCCCAAAGATCCTGACAGAGGAGGAGAGAGGGAGGGAGGGGGAAGACGTCAGAGAGCAGTTTAAAAACAGAGAGCGGGGAAGCCAGTGGGGGAGTTTTAATAATAGTTTAATTGCTAGAGATGTGATATCATCTCTGCACCTTTAGTATTGGGGACAACTCTAAACCAGAGCCAACTCTAAACTGGACAGACTGTGTAGAAGGCAGGTGGAATATAGCCGGCAATGGAAACACACACACACACACCTCCAGTACAGGCCTCTTCAGGTCATGTTTCAGAGGGGTCAAGTACAGCTCCAGTACAGGCCTCTTCAGGTCATGTTTCAGAGGGGTCAAGTACAGCTCCAGTACAGGCCTCTTCAGGTCATGTTTCAGAGGGGTCAAGTACAGCTCTAGTACAGGCCTCTTCAGGTCATGTTTCAGAGGGGTCAAGTACAGCTCCAGTACAGGCCTCTTCAGGTCATGTTTCAGAGGAGTCAAGTACAGCTCCAGTACAGGCCTCTTCAGGTCATGTTTCAGAGGGGTCAAGTACAGCTCTAGTACAGGCCTCTTCAGGTCATGTTTCAGAGGGGTCAAGTACAGCTCTAGTACAGGCCTCTTCAGGTCATGTTTCAGAGGGGTCAAGTACAGCTCCAGTACAGGCCTCTTCAGGTCATGTTTCAGAGGGGTCAAGTACAGCTCCAGTACAGGCCTCTTCAGGTCATGTTTCAGAGGGGTCAAGTACAGCTCTAGTACAGGCCTCTTCAGGTCATGTTTCAGAGGGGTCAAGTACAGCTCTAGTACAGGCCTCTTCAGGTCATGTTTCAGAGGGGTCAAGTACAGCTCTAGTACAGGCCTCTTCAGGTCATGTTTCAGAGAGGGGTCAAGTACAGCTCCAGTACAGGCCTCTTCAGGTCATGTTTCAGAGAGGGGTCAAGTACAGCTCCAGTACAGGCCTCTTCAGGTCATGTTTCAGAGAGGGGTCAAGTACAGCTCCAGTACAGGCCTCTTCAGGTCATGTTTCAGAGAGGGGTCAAGTACAGCTCCAGTACAGGCCTCTTCAGGTCATGTTTCAGAGAGGGGTCAAGTACAGCATGTCCAAAGCCTACATAAACACTTTAAAGTGATGTCACCCTTAATGCCATACAGTTATTAACTCCATCTTCTTCACTGGGCAGAATGTAATTAACTAGTGGTCCACATTACACAGTAACTAGTGGTCCACATTACACAGTAACTAGTGGTCCACATTACACAGTAACTAGTGGTCCACATTACACAGTATCTAGTGGTCCACATTACACAGTAAACTAGTGGTCCACATACACAGTAACTAGTGGTCCCACATTACACAGTAACTAGTGGTCCACATTACACAGTATCTAGTGGTCCACATACACAGTAACTAGTGGTCCACATTACACAGTAATCAGTGGTCCACATTACACAGATCTAGTGGTCCACATTACACAGTATTAGTGGGTCCCAATTACACAGTAATAGTGGTCCCACATTACACAGTATTAGTGGTCCACATTACACAGTAACTAGTGCGTCCACATACACAGTAATAGTGGTCCACATTACACAGTATCTAGTGGTCCACATTACACAGTATCTAGTGGTCCACATTACACAGTATCTAGTGGTCCACATTACACAGTAACTAGTGGTCCACATTACACAGTATATCTAGTGGTCCACATTACACAGTATCTAGTGGTCCACATTACACAGTAACTAGTGGTCCACATTACACAGTAACTAGTGGTCCACATTACACAGTATCTAGTGGTCCACATTACACAGTATCTAGTGGTCCACATTACACAGTAACTAGTGGTCCACATTACACAGTATCTAGTGGTCCACATTACACAGTAACTAGTGGTCCACATTACACAGTAACTAGTGGTCCACATTACACAGTATCTAGTGGTCCACATTACACAGTATCTAGTGGTCCACATTACACAGTATCTAGTGGTCCACATTACACAGTAACTAGTGGTCCACATTACACAGTAACTAGTGGTCCACATTACACAGTATCTAGTGGTCCACATTACACAGTAACTAGTGGTCCACATTACACAGTAACTAGTGGTCCACATTACACAGTATCTAGTGGTCCACATTACACAGTATCTAGTGGTCCACATTACACAGTATCTAGTGGTCTACATTACACAGTATCTAGTGGTCCACATTACACAGTATCTAGTGGTCCACATTACATAGTATCTAGTGGTCCACATTACACATTAACTACTGGTCAATAATATACAACTCTACTTTCCCATGAAATAAGCTACAATTGAAGCCCAGTTAGTAAAAGTAAGGATTCAGAAAGAAATCTAGTATATTTGGTATTTTTCATGAACTAGACATACACTATGGAGAGGTCTCAGTATTATTGGAGAGTGAACGGTCTGACTGTTTAACCCTGCTTGGTGACTAGTGACTAGCTCTGGCTTGATGTGTAGACGGTGTGTGTGGTGCCGCTAGATGAAAGGCTGCAGTAGACCTCTTCAGCTTCTACAGCAGACACATGAAAGGCTTTCCAAACCTCTATTGAATAGCTCTCAGGTTTATAATGCTTTTATAATGAGCTGCCAAGGTGACCACTCAGTCTGGCAGCTCCTTTTCATCTAAAAGGACTTAAAGAAAACCCATTGTGTGTGTGTGTGTGTGTGTGTGTGTGTGTGTGTGTGTGTGTGTGACCCACCTCCCTGTCCTCTGTAGCTCTGGTCCTGCTTGGTGTTGGTCTTCTTTGAAGGACTCATTATGGGCAGAGCCGTTGGGCACGGAAGGCATCTTCCTCTTCTCCTGTGTAGAGAAACGCCCCCCAAAGGCCAGGCCAGGTTACTGCACAGCCCTCAACTTTCTAACCATCCGTACTGTACACACACCATGGCCACAACAGTTCTCTTACAATATTACCCATCGGCATGTCTCACATGTTCAACAGCAGTCAGCAACCAGCCAACCACTATCTTCTTCCAGAACTCTCACCTGAGATGGGACACTCTTGGGGGGCTCGATTCGTATCGTAGGGTCCCACTCTCCTGGGGGTAGGACGGTCACCTGGTCCAGAAACTCATCTATCCCCGACAGCAGATCGTTCCGGTCTTTGGCCTTGTACGCTACATCATGGAAGATCTGGCACAGGACAACAACAGCAGTCTCTCAAACGAAATGTCACTGCTTTTGACACCACAGCAAATGGAACCAATTGGTGATTGGCCAAGGTTTGAAATTGGACCAATCCAGAGCTGTGTTGTAGTGCTCCTCACCTCGTCTGTCATCAGCGTGGCGATGGAGCGGCCAATCTCGTGGTACTGAGGACCCTTCCCAAACGGACCCAGCAGCAGGAACAGGAACCTGACCAATAGGAGAGCAGGATAGAATCTGAGTCCATCCAAGCACACACCCCCCTCAACACACAATATATATTTTCCAAAATTGTCATCTACTGCCATAACTCCTTCACTGTCAAAATAACTCACTGCCTGTCATACGATTCAGATAAGTGTGTGTGTGTGTGTACGCCTGTGTGTGTGTGCATACTGTGTTACCTGGTGGGTACGGGGACCTCAGTGAGACCAGTGAGCAGCACGGCGGGGGACAGCCTGATGAAGGCTATGATTGGTCGCTCCAGGAATTCCACCTCTCCCACCAGCACATTGGACGCCTCCGCCCCCGGAGGGATCTTCTTCATGAAGTTCATGTCCACCTGGGAGGTCGAAGGTCACAGGGTTAAACAGGAAGAATACCTGCTTGGATGTTCCTGAAGTTGAATTGTATTGTTTAAACCAAATTCCTATGACCAACAATTGGTGGCGTATATGTTTTTGGGCAGAAATGTGGTATCAACACTGGGAGGCTGCTCTCTGATCCCATTTACCATCTCCTGTCGTTGTGCAAGGCACTTAACCCCCCACAAAGTAGAATCCCTGTTAGGCAACTGTATAACACATGTGGTCAACCCTCAGTCTGGAGAGCTGCTGGGTGTGCAGGCTTTTGATCAAGCCCTGCTCAAACACGTCAGAGTCAGTTTATCAAGGTTCGGTTCAGCAGCTCATTCCTAAAATATGTGTTGTTAGAGGAATTAAAGCCTGCACTCTCATTAGCTCTCCTGGAGGATGGTTGACCACCCTTGATGTAAAACATTACAAACAAATATATTTTATGCCTTTATCAAATAATTTGCTCATTCAATATATCAAAGATCATATAGGGGAAACACTGAACAGTTAACTAGAGCGATAACTAGCTAGGCTACAAGATATGTTTTGAATTGGCTACCTAGTTAGTCTGTTCTCTATCATATTTTATAGACCCTCCTTGAGCAATGGCCCCACATGCACACACACAGATGCACTAAAGTGTCATATTCCGATCCTGGCTGATATGTAGATTTTTCGGTGATTTATAAAATATTTAAAAACTGTGCCTAAAGAAATTACATTAACAGAGATTATTAAAATACATTTCCATGACATTTTCAGATTTGATCATTTTCCAAAACTTTTCCAGGCCAGGAAAACACCATTGTAAATTCCATGACTTTTCCAGGATTTTTAAGACCGTATGACTGCATTATGATGCTATTGTTTGCCAAATTGGGCCAAATTACCACAAAATTCTCAAATGTTATAAACTGTGGAAAAATATAAGTTGTGTGTTTTGGTAACATGGTCAGTTACTGAGGATATGTGTGAAAACGGGTAGTTGGGGGTTGGACTATTACATCACACAGGACATAGCCTAATAAATCACATAGATGTGTGCTGCTGCTGCAGGAACTACAGTGCTATGAAAAAGTATTTGCCCCCTTTCTAATTTTCTCAACTTTTGCATATTTGTGATACTAATATTAGATCAAGGGAACAATACACAACAATACTATTTATTTCAACAAACTAAATAGATCAAGGGACAAATCACAACAATACATATTTATTCTAAACAAATTATGAACACCATCCCCTGTGTGAAAAGTAAGCCCCCTTACCTCATACTGTGTGCACTTAGCTGCATCAACCAAATGCTCCGTAGTGTGATCAGCTCTACGTCGCTGTGGAGGAATTTTGGCCCACTCTTCCATGCAGAACTGGTTTAACTCAATGACGTGTGGGTTTTCAAACATGCTCGTTTCAAGTACTGCCACAACATCTCAATTGGGATTAGGTCTGGACTTTGACTAGGCCATTCCAAAACTTCAAATTTGTAGCTTTTTAGCAATTTTCATGTAGACTTGATTGTGTGTTTTGGATCATTGTCTTGTTTTGGATCATTGGATCACCATCACACCACCACCACCATGCTTGACCTTTGGTATGATGTTCTTACTGTGGAATGGAAAGTTTGGTTTTCGCCAGGCATAGTGGGACCCATCTCGTCCAAAAAGTTGACTCAAGTTTGCCAAAAAGCACCTGGATGATCATCAAGACTCTTGGAAGAACGTTCTATGGACAGATGATTCAAAATTATAACTTTTTGGATGACATGGTTCCAGTAATGCCTGGCGAAAACCAAACTCCACAGTAAGAACTCCACAGTAAGACCATCATACCAAAGGTCAAGCATGGTGGTGGTGGTGTGATGGTTTGGGGATGCTTTTCTGCCTCAGGACCTGGACGACTTGCCTTAATAGAAGGAACCATGAATTCTGCTCTGTATCAGAGAATTCTACAGGAGAATGTCAGACCATCCGTCTGCGAACTGAAGCTGAAGCGCAGCTGGGTCATGCAGCAAGACAATGATCCAAAACACACAATCAAGTCTTCATGAACATTGCTAAAAAGCAACAAATTTGAAGTTTGAATGGCCTAGTCAAAGTCCAGACATAATCCCAATTGAGATGTTGTGGCAGGACTTGAAACGAGCAGTTCATGCTTGAAAACCCACACGTCACTGAGTTAAAGCAGTTCTGGATGGAAGAGTGGGCCAAAATTCCTCTACAGCGACGTGAGAGACTGATCAACAACTACAGGAAGCATTTGGTTGGAGTCATTGCAGCTAAAAGGTGGCACAACCAGTTGAGTGTAAGGGGGCAATTACTTTTTCACACAGGGGAATTGGGTGTCGCATAACTTTGTTTATGAAATAAATATGTAATTGTTGTGTTATTTGTTCACTTATGTTCCCTTGATCTAATATTAGGTTTTGGTTGAAGATCTGATAACATTCAGTATCACAAATATGCAAAAGTAGAGAAAATTAGAAAGGGGGCAAATACTTTTTCATAGCACTGTATATCTGTGCTTCTGACAGCCGTACTGCTTCACAAAAAACAAGCCAAAAAACGAGAATCAAAACAGACTCACTGGACCACGGTCAAACCACTACAGATAGATCAACACAGTCACGGCACTGTGGTCACACACATTAACACACACGGCACTGACAAGTAACATGTCATGTACAATCACGTCACGGTATAACAGTCTCATGGAACAGCCAGGGACAACACAACTTACTGCAGGCCTCCTGGCACCCCCTCCCCGGGAACCACAACTACAGTGGCAAGTCTGCTGAGGGCGGGACAAACAGGATACAGACAGGGGCACAACTTAATTCAGATCACACCACAAGCTCAGCTCACACACTCAGCATGGGGTACAATCTGGATCCACGATGTCACCCCTTTAATAATAACAACACTATCCTCATAATACACTGTTCACCTACCCATCAGTCCCCCCAATGGAGTGGAACCATGGAACCCAGTCACTTTGTTCAGTTTCCAGCGCCACCATGTTTTATTTCCAATGAGATAGAGATATACACCTACTCATTCAAGGGGTTTTTCTTTATTTTTACTATTTTGATTTGTTTAACACATTTTGGGTTACTACATGATTCCATATGTGTTATTTCATAGTTTTGATGTCTTCACTATTATTCTACAATGTAGAAAATAGTACAAATTAAGAAAAACCCTTGAATGAGTAGGTGTGTCCAAACTTTTGACTGGTACTGTATATTTGTATTATTATGTTCAGTTCAATATATCATTTAAAAGTATGCATTAAGGAGTCTATAATAGAATATACATGTCAAAACTAATGTAGACATTAATAATGCATTTCTATACCTTCCAAAATATTTTTTACAAATGGAGGAGTACCAAGATGGCTGCGAGGTGGTCTCAAAACAGCGCCCCCTGTCAGTCATCCAGGGTTTATACACATCATTGGTTATTTAATATACGTTTCATGTGAAAGCTGCTGCATCTGGTTGTGCAGTCAGTCTGACTTCTCTGTAGAGCCCTGCATGGGCATGAATTTTAAGCCCGTGCCCTACCTATGCGTCGACATTCAGGCCCTACCCAGGCCCGATTGCTTTTACCAAATTAAAGCCCCGGCCCTGACCGAAACCAGAAATAACTTCCTCCATTAGCTGCTCCTGTCAGTCACTCCCTGCACGCAGCTCACTCTGATCACGGTGGCTCCGAGTCTGGGAGTATCCATAGCAACGGCTCTGCTAGGGTCAATGATGAGACATTTACATTTTAGTCATTTAGCAGACGCTCTTATCCAGAGCGACTTACAGGAGCAATTAGGGTTAAGAAGCCTTGCTCAAGGGCACAGACATATTTTTCACCTAGTCGGCTCGGGGATTAGAACCAGCGACCTTTCGGTTACTGGCACAACGCTCTTAACCACTAAGCTACCTGACATGACAGCAGTTAGAGTAGTAGCTAACAGTAGCTAGGAACATTATTAGTAGCTAACAGCTAACAAAACTCAAGGAACATTATTTTCTGTGAAATAATCTCTCATGTCTTATATTTGACGAGGTTGAAGCACTTCTGACACCATTATGATCTTAGTCAGATAGGACTATGGCTCAGCTTCAAAATGTTAGTGATCAATTTAGTGATACACGAGCCCTGCCCGTACCCCTAGTTATTGATTAAAAATAAATAAATAGGCCCTACTCGGCCCGTACCCAATGTATACACTTATCAAGATAACATCCCTGGTCATTCCTACTGCCTCTGATCTGGCCGACTCACTAATCACAAATGCTTTGTTTGTAAATTATGTCTGAGTTTAGGAGTGTGCCCCTGGCTATCCACAAATACAAATACAATTGTGCTGTCTGGTTTGGTTAATATAACATTTACATTTACATTTACGTCATTTAGCAGACGCTCTTATCCAGAGCGACTTACAAGGACTGTAAAATGATTTATACTTTTACACATAAGTATATTTAAAACCAAGTAGTATTTTACTGGGTGACTTTCACTTTTACTTCAGTCATTTTCTATTAAGGTATCTTTACTTTTACTCAAGTATGACAATTGGGTACTTTTTCCAGCACTGGCTATCGGTACACTATAATTACAAGTAAGTACCCCTCAAGATACACAGGATTTGGCTAGTTAAAATGAAGTGTAACACCTAGTAATTACATTGTACTTATGCAGATATTACATGTACTAGTGTATTTATTCTTCCACTTGGGTCGCACTTCCAGAAGCTTGAAAATGAGGGCCAGGTTGTCAGAATGGGTGATGTAATGTACTGTATAAGTTAGTGAACTTAGTGGAAACCTGCCCATTTGTAACAAGCATGGTAACAAGCATTCGCTGTTATACTTCTGTAATTACAGACCGCAATTCCTACCAGGTTTATCTTGTTATTACATTGTAACTATGAGTTATTACTGTTAACTACAATACTTGTTACAGTATGAAAATGTATGCACTGACTAACTGTAAGTCGCTCTGGATAAGAGTGTCTGCTAAATGACTAAAATGTAAATGTAATGTCGGGCCCGGGTCGGGTAACAGAGCTCTACTTCTCTGTCCTCGTGGCGGTGGGTCTACACAAGGCACAGCAGTGGGAGGAGAGGAGACGTTACCTTGCTGAAGTCCACAGTGCTGTTCTCTCTGCTTCCTCCGTTGATGCGGCTCTCACTCGGTTTACTGTTCTCCAGGTTCCCAGGAGCTGATTGGGGGGACGCCAGGAGGCCTGCCCAAGGGGAGGAGGAGGATGGGGGAGGGGTAGAAGAAACCAGTGGTCAATTGAACAGTAAAAATGAACTGTGTATGGCCGATATGAATTGGGGATTGGTATAATTGTGTACGTCTACAAATTGTATGTGTCTGAGAAGGGGGCTATGTATGTGTGACTCTGTGAGTTTGAGAGATTGTTCAGACATGCAGCTGCTCAGCACATGCTGGGTGAGAAACTCCACTTATGCAACACAAAGCCATTAGAGATGGTAGAAATAACAAAACAGTGGGGGGATAAATTAGGTAGACATCCATAGACATCCTCTCAGTGTTGTGGTTGGACAGAGCGGTTTCAGAGGTTTTTAATGGTGGAATGTGTTCCAATGGGGCCCTGCCTGCCTGCGTCAAACCCCTGCATCTTACTGAATCAGTCAGCCCACTCAGCCAAGATACACCACATGGTCCAGTTAGACACTTAGACAGCTCATTTAAAGCTGGGAAAAACTGAACTGAACACACGCACTTGTTGACACACACACACACACACGTCATCCTCTTGCTATAAAAACGTATTTGGACCTCCTGTCGTCTTACAGTCTATGAGCCTTGCCATCTGAAACTAGGACTTGCTCTAGAACGCACTCTGCGTAATACTGTGCAGCGTCTGTGTGTGTGTGTGTGTGTATGTGTGTGTGTGTGTGTGTGTGTGTGTGTGTGTGTGTGTGAAACCGGAGCATGCCTCATATTAACCATGACATCATTTATTAGCCAGTGGTAATGGTGGTAATAGTGCCGGATTACAATAACATGGGGGCAACTTAATGTAAAATAGTTACCAAACTTTGTTAAAGGGTATCTCTCAACTCCAATTTCAGCCTTTGCCCAAACCCTTCACATTTACAGGTGAGAAGTTGTGGGTGGCGGGGGAATAAATAAATATTCATTTTTGGGGGTGGGTAAACTTAGTTGTACCTGATCCCAACACTTTGTCACTAAAGCATACTTACTAGAAGTCCACTGGCATGCTCTGATAATAAAATAATGTGCATCGTGAGAAAATATGGCTCTGGACAGTTAGCGCACAGTGGTAAGGTGGCAAGTTCCTGACATCTTGCGGTGTAAGTTCAAATCCCCTATGTAAATAAGGTATTTCTGTTTTTATTTATTTTTTAATTTGCAAACATTTCTAAAAACCTGTTTTCGCTTTGTCATTAAAATGGGTATTGTGTGTAGATTGAGGAAAACAAATAATTTATTCAATTTTAGAATAAGGCTGTAACGTAACAAAATGTGGAAAAAGTGAAGGGATCTGAATACGTTCCGAATGCACTGTATGCAGTAGCTCTTGGTCAAATTAACTCAGATTTGTCTTGGGTACACACACAAAAATATAAATGCAACATGTAAAGTGTTGGTCCCATGTTTCAGCTCCTGAGAACCGCACAAAATGTTATTTATCTCACATTTTGAGCACAAATGTGCTTACATCCCTGTTAGTGAGCATTTCTCCTTTGCCAAGTTAATCCATCCACCTGAGAGTTGTGGCATATCAAGAAGCTGATTAAACAGCATGGTCATTACACAGGTGCACCTTGTGCTGGGGACAATAAAAGTCCACTAAAATGTGCAGTTTTGTCACACAACACAATGCCACAGATGTCTCAAGTTGAGGGAGCGTGCAAATTGGCATGCTGACTGCAGGAATGTGCCCCAGAGTGGTTGCCAGAGAATTGAATGTTAATTTCTCTACCGTTTAGAGAATTTGGCAGTACGTCCAACCGGCCTCATAACCGCAGACCACGCCAGCCCAGGACCTCCACATCTGGCTTCTTCACCTGCGGGATCGTCTGAGACCAGCCACCCGGACAGCTGATGAAACTGAGGAGTATTTCTGTCTGTAATAAAGCCCTTTTTTTGGGAAAACCTCATTCTGATTGGCTAGGCTTGGCTCCCACCTATGGCTGCGCCCCTGCCCAGTCATATGAAATCCATAGATTAGGGCATAATTAGTATCTTTTTTGATCGTCTCATCACTGCAAGTCCCCAACGGGCTCGGGAGAGGCGAAGGTGGAGTCATGCATCCTCCGAAACATGACCCGCCTAACCATGCTCCTTAAACAGCTTAACCCGGAAGCACCAATGTGTCGGAGGAAACACCATTCTACTGGCACCCGGCCCGCCACAAGGAGTCGCTAGAGCGTGATGAGCCAAGTAAAGCCCCACCGGCTAAACCCTCCCCTAACCCGGACGACGCTGCGCCAATTGTGCGCCGTCCTATGGGACTCCCGGCCACGGCCGGTTGTGGCACAGCCCGGGAATTAACCCGGGTCTGTAGTAACGCCTCTCGCACTGCGATGCAGTGCCTTAGACTAATGCGCCACTCAGGAAGCCCTGAATGTATTTTATTTTAATTGACTGATTTCCTTAAATGAACTGTAACTCAGTAAAATCGTTGGAATTAACTCTATTTTTCTTAAAACTGCATTGTTGGTTAAGGGCTTGTAAGTAAGCATTTCACGTTAAGGTCTACACCTGTTGTATTGTGACAAATAAAATGTGATTTGATTTATGCGGAAATGTGCCTTACTGCCTTTTTAATTTTGTGTAATGTCAGTAGTCTAGTCAAGGAAGCCTCATGCTAAATATATTGGCACACTCCACTTACCAAGACCATTGCCAAATAAGGCACGCTGTCACCGTTTTTATAGTAAGCCTTGAGGTGGTACCACCAAGCACATACCAAAACCCTCCCTTGAACCTTCTCAAGGTGCCTCTACATCACGATTTCAATGGTAGAGTTGAACCGCTGGGGGCAAAAAGAGCTAGATTTACTACTAAAAGACCAAAATATATCTATTTTGCAACGAACTGTCAAAATGAAGACCAGAATTGCTGTGTTTCACTATAACTAAGCCTAAAACATATGTGCTTCACAAGTCATCACACACACAGACACACACACACAATGTAAAGGACCGAGAGGGAGAGGGGTCAGATTTTGTAAGGTGAGGAAGGGTTTCATGCTATTTGCAGGATATTGAACCTGCTGGAGGTGGGGTGAGGAGCTGCACCAGGTGGGCGGGGTCTGCACCCTCAGACTCCTCCTTGTGGTCATTGACTAGACAGGACTGGAGCTTCAGTTCCTCCCCATCTGGAGCATGGACCACCACACTGGGGATACTCCAGTTCTTGCCCTCCCCAGATGCCAACCCAATCTCTGGGTCTAGGTCTGGGTCAGTCAGAGGAGGGGTGGAGGACGAGCAGGGAAGGGTGGAGGACGGGCAGGGAGGGGTGAAGGCTCTGTGTCTGGCTAGGGGAGGGGTGTCCTGGGGGGTGCTGAGGGGGGAGGAAGGGGCGCTGGCGCTGAGCAGGAGGCGGCTGAGGTGGTTGAGGAACTGAGACCCCCTGGACTCCCTTGAAGAGGGAGGGGTGGTGGCGGTGGAGGTGTGTCGCAGGAGGGAGGGGCAGTAGGCGGAGAGACTCCCTATAGAGGGGGCAAGGGTAGTTGGGAAAGGAGAGATAAGACAGGATGGAAAAAGGAAAGCAGGAAAGAAGGAGAGGAAAAATAAATCAAGGTGAGAAGGGTAGAAATCCTAAATGTGTGTTGGGAACGATGCTCTTCATGCTAACAAGCCCAGGCATTGGAAGTGTCTTGTTAGTGGAAGTCCAAGACAAACAGCAGGGGCATATTCAGTACGTCCCAAAACATCACATAGAACGTACACTACCAGTCAAAAGTTGGACACACCTACTCATTCAAGGGTTTTTCCTTTATTTTATTTTATTTTTTACATTGCAGAGTAATAGTGAAGACATCAAAACTATGAAATCACACATTAAAAATAATGTACTAACCAAAGAAGTGTTAAACAAATCAAAATATATTTTATATTTGAGATTCTTCAAATAGCCACCCTTTGCCTTGATGACAGCTTTGCACACTCTTAGCATTCTCTCAACCAGCTTCATGAGGTAGTCACCTGGAATGCATTTCAATTAACAGGTGTGCCTTCTTAAAAAGTTAATCTGTGGAATTTCTTTCCTTCTTAATGCGTTTGAGCCAATCAGTTGTGTTGTGACAAGGTAGGGGGGGGGGAGATAGCCCTATTTGGTAAAACACCAAGTCCATATTATGGCAAGAACAGCTCAAATAAGCAAAGAGAAACTACAGTACATCATTACTTTAAGACATGAAGGTCAGTCGCAAAAAGTGGTGTCGCAAAAACCATCAAGCGCTATGATGAAACTGGCTCTCATGAGGTCCGCCACAGGAATGGAAGTTACCTCTGCTGCAGAGGATAAGTTCATTAGAGTTACCAGCCTCAGAAATTACAGCCCAAATAAATGCTTCACAGAGTTCAAGTGTTATGGTGTGGGGGTGCTTTGCTGGTGACACTGTCTGTGATTTATTTAGAATTCAAGGCACACTTAACCAGCATGGCTACCACAGCATTCTACAGCGATACGCCATCCCTTCTGGTTTGGGCTTAGTGGGACTATCATTTGGTGGCTATTTGAAGAATCTCAAATATATTTGGATTTGTTTAACACTTTTTTTGGTTACTACATGATTCCATATGTATTATTTCATAGTGCTGATGTCTTCACTATTATTCTACAATGTAGAAAATAGTAAAAATAAAGAAAAACCCTGGAATGAGTAGGTGTGTCCAAACTTTTGACTGGTACTGTACATGGAGCCGCACTAAACCAGGAGAGATTAAGTCAAGGCAAATTAACATCTGTCATAATGCCAACCGCCCACAAACAGCAGCGAACATGTTCATAACACATTCAAAAACACTGTTTAGCAACCATTGTGCAATGTTACAAAAACTAAATAAATCCCACGGTTACATCACACTTTAATAAGGATATACTATAGGTCACTCAAACGGACCAATCACAAGCAAGGGGAAGTTGACCAATAATCTTCAACTGTGATTTAAGTGCTACATGATGACATGTGCACAGATTTACTTTGGTTATAAGTTATTAACTATTAGCCTACTACAACAGTTCAACACAAAAACCTATTCACAAAACCATCTTTCCAGGAGAAAACACAATCCAGTGCACAAAACAAACTCATCTCAGACTTATCACTGCAGTGTTCAAGAACAGTCACAATGGGCAAATCACATGCCAGCAAAAGACCCATGCACCAATCAGAGCCTGCCCATCGTCTTGTCACTCTGTACTTCAGCCAACTGACACCATATGGCTCTTTAAAGACCCAACCCACTTTTTTTTTTTTTATTTTTTAAACACCTCCATAGTGCATACATTAAATCTGTCAAAACATGGCTAAACTTTAGTAAAAAAGGGTGTAAATAAAACATTATTTAATAGAAAAAATAGTGAAAAGCTGAAATGAGGGGATAGCGAGCAGTAGAGAAAAGGAGAAGTGCAGCGAGGGCCCTCACCGTTTCTCTCAAGCAGGTGTGGGTCAGATTGTTTCTTGCCGATGTCAGCGAAGGAGCGCACCAGAGGGATGCGGTTGCTGAGCTTCTTCTCATTCTGGTGGTGATGTCTCTTCAACATGGCCTCCCTCACCTTCTGCCTCAACCCGTCCTCCAGCTGAGCTGACGCCACCATGCTGTCTATCACCATGTCTATGGGGGGCACAGGGTAGACCGCATGATTTATTCAACTGTTACATGGTTTATTCAACTGTTACATGGTTTATTCAACTGTTACATGGTCAACACATTCAACTTTCAGACTCACTCATAGCCAAAACTCTCTCATTCACACACCCAACCATACACACCTAGCTAGTAAAACAGTCAAATGTCTGCAGAGAGACATGCATACACACACGCTCACCGGCGATCTCCTCAATAGTGTTAGCTCTCATGTCCAACATGACAGTGCCGTTGAGGATGCAGCTGCGGAGCTCGAAGAGGCTGTGTAGAGACAGCGTGGCCACGTAGGGCTTACTCCAACGCTCCCCTCCATCCTCCACGTCTTCCTCAAACTTTAACCACCTATACACACACACACACACGATTAAAGGAGCTGTTTGATGAGGAAATATCCACTAGGAGTAGTGAGGAAGGGTGTGTCTCGTGCCTGGCTGTCTCCCTCCACTCGTAGACGTGTCCGTCCCTGAAGAACAGCTCGTCCAGCTCAGTGAACAGGTCGTGGGGCATGTGTTCCTCATCATCATCCTCTGTCCCCAGGATGAACTGGACCCGCTGGGACGGGGTGTCTGGAAACACAGGGGTACAGGTGTGGAAGATGGGTAAGGTAGTACAGCAAAGAGAATATCAGCAGAAAAACCCCAGAAAAGGTTTGGCATAGGAAACAGGGCTGGAGAATGGAGATATGACAACAGAGCTGATCTGAGGACAGTGAAGCTAAAGCAGACGTTGAGGTGGGAGAGGGAACTAGTCTTAGCTACCATAAGAAGGAGACTCTCGTCCATCTTCACGGTCCGAGCGGTCTCTCCTCTTGCGGTGGTGTCTGTTGCCGCGGTGGCGGTGGTGTCTCCGTTTGGTCTCTCTGCCCAGAGGAACATGGACACCCACATAGACCGCTCTGTGACCTGGAGACAGGGTAGAGAGAGGCATGGTCAATCACAGTCTATCACGTTTAACAGTCTTATCTGCAGTAGGGCTGGGTATATACACACGGCATTTAAAAAATTGGTAATGTCAATATGGTTATTCGTAACATACATAGTCCGATTTTAGCATTCTCCAATCTTTAGATCGCCTCTCTTCACAGGCCCAAACTTGCATGAGACAAATGTGGTTGTTTTCATACACTGCAGCCTTCCTGAGTCACCATCAGACTCCACATTATGGAAACCTACTCTAACCCACCCACACAAAAAAAAAAAAAGTCTTCCCTTTGTCGTTTACGTGCGTCACACATGCTGGTAAACCTTTCCTCTGATCCTCCTCTCAATTTCTGTCGTATCAAGTGGCCATACCTGAAGCGTTAAATGAATGGATGAGTACGTGCCATTTTGACAGCAACTAAGAATGGATAGAAAGGAAGTCACTGCCTAAGACCCACTGCTCCCTCCCTAAGACCCGCTGCTCCCTGCTCACTGCCTAAGACCCGCTGCTCCCTGCTCACTGCCTAAGACCCACTGCTCACTGCCTAAGACCCGCTGCTCCCTGCTCACTGCCTAAGACCCACTGCTCCCTCCCTAAGACCCGCTGCTCCCTGCTCACTGCCTAAGACCCGCTGCTCCCTGCTCACTGCCTAAGACCCGCTGCTCCCTGCTCACTGCCTAAGACCCGCTGCTCCCTGCTCACTGCCTAAGACCCGCTGCTCCCTGCTCACTGCCTAAGACCCGCTGCTCCCTGCTCACTGCCTAAGACCCGCTGCTCCCTGCTCACTGCCTAAGACCCGCTGCTCCCTGCTCACTGCCTAAGACCCGCTGCTCCCTGCTCACTGCCTAAGACCCGCTGCTCCCTGCCTAAGACCCGCTGCTCCCTGCTCACTGCTGGTGGTCAGGACATGGGGAAAGGAGAGAAGGCTAAAGAAGGAGCAGGACGTGCAGGCTGCTCTTTGTGCTTATAAACACACTGGGAACGTTAAACCCGTCTGTATGGCATCCTACTGACGTCAGTCTGGACAGAGCAGATAAACGGACCAGGAGGGAGGTGAGGACTACAGCGTGGTGGGTCTTCATCACACCCCTGTTACAGACATGTAATATGTTATAGCCTACTAAGTCCAATGGGGAAAGAATTAATACCAAAAAAAAACTACAAAAACATAGTATTTGTGAGTGGGGGCCTGCGTCTTAAAATGTTTTTCCTATTATTAGCCATGGGGAGTTTTTAGCAGTAATAAATCTCTAAGACCTAAGAAGTTGTGACCTCCCTAAATGAAGTGTCCCATGCTGTGGGTGTTAAAGGTGAGCTGTGAGCCTAGCATTAGGGAGCATTACATAGAGAACAACACTACCTAATCCACCCAGTTCCTCTCTGGATGATCTAAAAAAGGTCCAACTGTGATCCTCAGCTGCACCCCTGCAGGCTTTCCTGTCCAAAAGTACTTAGTTCCTTTCATTTACATGGATGACAGAGATGCACAACAACCCTAATAATATAACTAACATATTTATTGTTCCAGGCTTCCAGCTAACATCTTTATTGTTCCAGGCTTCCAGCTAACATCTTTATTGTTCCAGGCTTCCAGCTAACATCTTTATTGTTCCAGGCTTCCAGCTAACATCTTTATTGTATCCCTGGACATTCCTATGAATAAATAACATTCAGGTCAGAGGTTTTCCTCTGTGGTTTCCATTAGCACCTCTGGTTGTCAGCTGTAATGTTCTGCGCAGTAGGAGTCGTCCCTGCTTTAGAGAAGTGTGGAGGTGAGGAGAGAGGGACATATATTACTTTAGCGAAGTGTGGAGGTGAGGAGAGAGGGACAGATATTACTTTAGAGAAGTGTGGAGGTGAGGAGAGAAGGACAGAGTAGTGGAAGGGGAACATAGAGGTTGGGTCTGCCTGTACCAACCGTGTGATTATGTGAATGAGTGAGATAGAGTTCTAGTGTTCTAGAGAGAGTCAGAGAGAATGAAGGGGGAGTGAAAGAGCAGGCTCTATTAAATGAGTGAAGGCCAGAGCTTCAGGCTAGTCCACAGTAATGCTGTTAGAGCTGCCACTAGGGTGGGGGGAGGAGCAGCTAATGCATGACATTCTCACACTGTTCTCTACCTCATTAGCCAGGGGTTACAAGTTACACTGTTCTCTACCTCATTAGCCATGGGTTACAAGTTACACTGTTCTCTACCTCATTAGCCATGGGTTACAAGTTACACTGTTCTCTACCTCATTAGCCATGGGTTACAAGTTACACTGTTCTCTACCTCATTAGCCATGGGTTACAAGTTACACTGTTCTCTACCTCATTAGCCATGGGTTACAAGTTACACTGTTCTCTACCTCATTAGCCAGGGGTTACAAGTTACACTGTTCTCTACCTCATTAGCCATGGGTTACCAAGTTACCTGTTCTCTACCTCATTAGCCATGGGTACAAGTACACTGTTCCTTCTACCTCATAGCCAGGGTTACAAGTACACTGTTCTCTACCTCATTACTCATGGGTTACAATTTACACTGTTCTCTACCTCATTAGCCATGGGTTACAAGTTACACTGTTCTCTACCTCCAGTTAGCCATGGGTTACAAGTTACAATGTTCTCTACCTCATTGAGCCAGGGGGTACAAGTTTACACTGTTCTTCTTACCATCATTAGCCATGGGTTACAAGTTACACTGTTTTCTCATACCTCATTAGTCCAGTGGGTTACAAAGTTACACGGTTCTCTACCTCATTACAGCCATGGGTTACAAGTTACACTGTTCTCTACCTCATTAGCCATGGGTTACCAAGTTTAACAACTGTTCTCTACCTTCATTAGCCATGGGGTTACAAGTTTACACTGTTTCTCTACCTCATTAGCCAGGGGTTACAAGGTACACTGTTCTCTACCTCATTAGCCATGGGTTACAAGTTACACTGTTCTCTACCTCATTAGCCAGGGGTTACAAGTTACACGGTTCTCTACCTCATTAGCCAGGGGTTACAAGTTACACTGTTCTCTACCTCATTAGCCATGGGTTACAAGTTACACTGTTCTCTACCTCATTAGCCAGGGGTTACAAGTTACACTGTTCTCTACCTCATTAGCCATGGGTTACAAGTTACACTGTTCTCTACCTCATTAGCCAGGGGTTACAAGTTACACTGTTCTCTACCTCATTAGCCAGGGGTTACAAGTTATTAGTGTTCAAGTTCACCTCACAAAGCCTGGTCTCCCCAAGCACAGCTTCTTGGGAGGGGATGCAGCTACAGCGTGTGTGTGTGTGTGTGTGTGTGTGTGTGTGTGTGTGTGTGTGTGTGTGTTGTGTGTGTGTGTGTGTGTGTGTGTGTGTGTGTGCGCGCGCGCATGCATGCATGCAAATGAATGTGGGTTGGAGATAAATTGTTAAAATTCCATGGGCTTCTTTGATACTACTGTGTGTACTCAGTGTATACTGTCAACATGGATAGGATCCGGGCACATTTGATACTTTGTGTGTGTATATATAAACACTAAAATCAGACTTACTCTCTAGCTCCTCTTTCTCAAAGTTGGTGTGAATGGTGGAGCTCGTCTTCCCCAGGTCCACCACCGCCTCATCATCGTTCCCCTGGTGACGACAAGGAGAAATACAAATCAGTTGGCAGATTTCAACAAAACACAAAAAGAGAACGGAATGTACATTTGGTGGTGATGCAGAGAGAAAGGATATTTATTCAATAGCCTAAATCTTCATAGTTCCCAAAGAGCAAGTTGTTTTAAAGCTGCAATATGTAACTTTTTGTGCGACCTGAAAAAATTCACATAGAAATGTGAGATATAGATCTATTATTCTCACTAAAAGCAAGTCTAAGTGGTAGATCTGATCTACATGCTCTATTTCTATGCTTCCCGTTCTTCAGTTTGGTTTTTGCGTCATTTACTTTAGGTTTTGTACACCAGCTTCAAACACAATACTTTTGGTTATGGAAGATATATTTCACAGCGGTTTAGATGGTACAATGATTCTCTACACTATACTTGCTTGTTTTGTCACAAACTGAAATTAGGCGAACTATTCGAATTTTAACAACCAGGAAATGGCAGAGCGATTTCTTCCTAGTGCATCTTTAAGCATTGATAGAATTGTACAACACACCCTAGACACTAGAGGGTAGGAAGGAAATAATGAGGCAATAAAAAAAAAACGTGGGCCTACGTAGTCAATCCTATTGACCACGAAGCACAGCGTCGGAGATACACAATGGAAGAGGGTAATACAGGTCACATTGGGTGGCAGTTGGAGCCGTGTGAAGTTAACTTCCTGTTCTAGGTCTTACACTTCCTATTAGGTTACACCTTTTAACACAGCAGTCAAATTCAATAGGACTCCCTAATCCAGCCATCTCACTAAGACCACACAGGCAATAGTGTAATAGTAGAGCTTCATCTGCTTCAAGACTGGACCTAACAAAGAAATAGGCCTATAGGCTAATCATAAGTCTATTCTGATAGCCTCTTAAAACAGTCATGGGAAAGATCCTGCATTTTCCATACACTATAGGCTAACTACACCACGTACAAGAACAACTCCAAACTGTCATCGTTCAGTTGATATGGCAGATGCCATTACCATTGGATAGAATTACAATTAAAAGTAGCCTCTGCCGAGTCCCCAACAACTGGATGTTCCGGTTTTCAGGGGAAATAGAAAAAAAGAGCCTGTGACGAGACTTCCGCTTTTTGGACGTTAACAAGGTGACACTCCCATCTTAACTCCTCCACATTTACTGGATTGGTTGAACAGTGCAGAAGAGAACATTTCTCTTCCTGGCAAGACTAGTATGTAGGGGGATCTAGTTTCAGGTGTTTCTCTTACGCCTGCTACGATAGGTTAATTATAAGAGACATTGTAGCCTACTCTATAGGCCTAATCAGGAGAAAGGCCTTTGAACGCTATAGCCAAGGGGAATGACTCAGACAGAGGGATGTCCCTGCTGAATAAAGCCTAGGCGGCTGGACAGCACCTGCGGGGGTGAGCGCTGAGGTAAATATTTGTGTTGGGCACAGGCCAGCACGCCCTGAGTCCAAAGACAGGCTGTCTTAGTAGCACGACACAGACGCATACAGTGTTTAGATTTGAGTTACCCAAACTTTACAAGTTTGTGTTATCCATCTCTCCAGCTTGCATTCTCTCTCTCTAGCTACAGTGGGGGAAAAAAGTATTTAGTCAGCCACCAATTGTGCAAGTTCTCCCACTTAAAAAGATGAGAGAGGCCTGTAATTTTCATCATAGGTACACGTCAACTATGACAGACAAATTGAGAAGAAAAAAACCCCAGAAAATCACATTGTAGGATTTTTAATGAATTTATTTGCAAATTATGGTGGAAAATAAGTAATTGGTCACCTACAAACAAGCAAGATTTCTGGCTCTCACAGACCTGTAACTTCTTCTTTAAGAGGCTCCTCTGTCCTCCACTCGTTACCTGTATTAATGGCACCTGTTTGAACTTGTTATCAGTATAAAAGACACCTGTCCACAACCTCAAACAGTCACACTCCAAACTCCACTATGGCCAAGACCAAAGAGCTGTCAAAGGACACCAGAAACAAAATTGTAGACCTGCACCAGGCTGGGAAGACTGAATCTGCAATAGGTAAGCAGCTTGGTTTGATGAAATCAACTGTGGGAGCAATTATTAGGAAATGGAAGACATACAAGACCACTGATAATCTCCCTCGATCTGGGGCTCCACGCAAGATCTCACCCCGTGGGGTCAAAATGATCACAAGAACGGTGAGCAAAAATCCCAGAACCACACAGGGGGACCTAGTGAATGACCTGCAGAAAGCTGGGACCAAAGTAACAAAGCCTACCATCAGTAACACACTACGCCGCCAGGGACTCAAATCCTGCAGTGCCAGATGTGTCCCCCTGCTTAAGCCAGTACATGTCCAGGCCCGTCTGAAGTTTGCTAGAGTGCATTTGGATGATCCAGAAGAGGATTGGGAGAATGTCATATGGTCAGATGAAACCAAAATATAACTTTTTGGTAAAAACTCAACTCGTCGTGTTTGGAGGACAAAGAATGCTGAGTTGCATCCAAAGAACACCATACCTACTGTGAAGCATGGGGTGGAAACATCATGCTTTGGGGCTGTTTTTCTGCAAAGGGACCAGGACGACTGATCCGTGTAAAGGAAAGAATGAATGGGGCCATGTATCGTGACATTTTGAGTGAAAACCTCCTTCCATCAGCAAGGGCATTGAAGATGAAACGTGGCTGGGTCTTTCAGCATGACAATGATCCCAAACACACCGCCCGGGCAACGAAGGAGTGGCTTCGTAAGAAGCATTTCAAGGTCCTGGAGTGGCCTAGCCAGTCTCCAGATCTCAACCCCATAGAAAATCTTTGGAGGGAGTTGAAAGTCTGTGTTGCCCAGCGACAGCCCCAAAACATCACTGCTCTAGAGGAGATCTGCATGGAGGAATGGGCCAAAATACCAGCAACAGTGTGTGAAAACCTTGTGAAGACTTACAGAAAACGTTTGACCTGTGTCATTGCCAACAAAGGGTATATAACAAAGTATTGAGAAACTTTTGTTATTGACTAAATACTTATTTTCCACCATAATTTGCAAATAAATTCATTAAAAATCCTACAATGTGATTTTCTGGAAATCTTTTTCTCATTTTGTCTGTCATAGTTGACGTGTACCTATGATGAAAATTACAGGCCTCTCATCTTTTTAAGTGGGAGAACTTGCACAATTGGTGGCTGACTAAATACTTGTTTTCCCCACTGTATCTCTCGGTCTCTACATCACTCTGCATTCTCCTCCTAACCAGGGACAATTGTTCTGTAACAACCATGAACCCAAGAGAAGTTAGACTGAACCTAATGAACACGAAGTAGGTCTATTTATTAGAGACCAACTCAACAGACGACATTAAAAAGTAAGTGGCAGTTGGCAACATTTCACTAACTTTCTAGGCAGATCAGCCTCCTGTCACATATGATATATGCCACTGACTGACCTGTCATGTTCGGGGCTAGTCTAGACGCCGTGCACCATTTCAGGGCACTACATGAGTTTAACAATCGCTGCCAAAGGTTTTTGTACAACCAAGGAGTGCCTTGTAAATATAATTCGACACACAGGGTGAAATAGACAGATAGGCTACCTCCTGATGATGAAATATGCCATGTGGTCCAGTGCTACTGCTCTGGAAAGCAGCAACAATCCAGTCAGTAGGAGCCTCCTACCACCACCACGGTTTTCTAAAGGTTGAATTTTCTGCAGTAGAGAATAGAAACAATATGGCCTAATAGCCAAGTTCATGAACTGGAAAGTTTTTCATTTAGCGGTTGTACGGTTGCTGGGCCTGGTAGCTAAACCATATGGTGGGAACTTCTAGAGAACTACCCATTTAGCAAGTGCTGCTTCTACTAAAATAGCTAAAAGACGATGGTTTCAGAGTAATTCAGTGAGTTTAACTTGCTTGTTATTTGGGTTCCTACTCTTCCATCACTGGTACAGTAATAGGCTCTTAAAACTTAAAGTACTTTTTAAAAAACCACACTGCTATGAAAAAAGCACATGCCTATTCCCAATACAGACCAGAACACACATACCACACATGGAGCTTTGGCTGCTGTGGTACTCTTCAAATTGACAATATCTCCCCAGAAATCCATGGCTGGCAGACTCTGCAGAGTGGCGGAACCCCCCCCCCAACGAAAGAGCACCCAAGTCCTGCTTCAATCACTGGATGGTGACTGGGTGGTTTGAGTAGGGAATCAAGGTGGCAGTGAACGCAAATAGGCCTACAGGTCTGAGCAGACAGTCTGGGTGGGTGCCCAAATAGTCCTCGAATGCGTGGAGTGTGTACGTGTGTATAAGTACGTGTTCACAATTTGCGTCTGCTTTCAGGAGGGTGTTCCAAATATGATTTTTTATTTTTAGCTGTGGGTGTGTCCTGAGAGAGCTGCTTTAAAAAGGGGGGGGCATATAAATGGAACAGCATGTGGGGCGACTGTGGGGGCAGCCGGTCTGAAGTAAATTAGTCCACGTGCCACGTTTGGGGTGCTAATAAAATCAATCCATAAATAATTTTACAGTTAAAAAAGGTAGGCTGCATGGGATTTTGAACATTAGGTTATACTAAATGTAGGTTGTTGCACCCAAAATGTAAGGCAATCATCGGGAAGATCTAGATTGTTGCATTTGAGCCATCTGTGACTGTGATATTGTTAACTGTTTTGTACCTATCAAATCCAATGTGGAGGGATATTTAGGGTGTTATGCTAGTCTGCTAGACCACTAGCCAGAATCAAATTGAGTGTGCACTTATTACCTTCGGAAAGTATTCAGACCCCTTGACTTTTCCCACATTTTGTTACAGCCTTATTCTACAATGGATTAAATGTTTAGTTTTTTTCAGCAATCTACACATAATACCCCATAATGACAAAGTGAAAACAGGTTTTTAGAAATGTACTAAAAATAAAACAGAAATACCTTATTTACGTTAGTATTCAGACCCTTTGCTATGATACTCGAAATTGAGCTCAGGTGCATCCTGTTTCCATTGATCATCCTTGAAATGTTTCTACAACTTTATTGGAGTCCACCTGTGGTAAATTCAATTGATTGGACATGATTTGGAAAGGGACACACCAGTCTATATAAGGTCCCTCAGTTGACAGTGCATATCAGAGCAAAAACCAAGCCATGAGGTCGAAGGAATTGTCCGTAGAGCTCCGAGACAGGATTGTGTCAAGGCACAGATCTGGGGAAGGGTACGAAAACATTTCTGCAGCATTGAAGGTCCCCAAGAACACAGTGGCCTCCATCATTCTGAAATGGAAGAAGTTTGGAACCACCAAGACTCTTCCTAGAGCTGGCTGCCCAGCCAAATTGAGCAATGCGGGGAGAAGGGCCTTGGTCAGGGAGGTGACCAAGAACCGATGGTCACTCTGACAGAGCTCCTCTGTGGAGATGTGTGTCCTCCTCCCAGAGTGCAAAGAGCCTTGGCGTGACCCTGGACAACACCCTGTCGTTCTCCGCTAACATCAAGGCGGTGACCCGATCCTGTAGGTTCATGCTCTACAACATTCGGAGAGTACGACCCTGCCTTACACAGGAAGCGGCACAGGTCCTAATCCAGGCACTTGTCATCTCCCGTCTGGATTACTGCAACTCGCTGTTGGCTGGGCTCCCTGCCTGTGCCATTAAACCCCTACAACTCATCCAGAATGCCGCAGCCCGTCTGGTGTTCAACCTTCCCAAGTTCTCTCACGTCACCCCGCTCCTCCACACACTCCACTGGCTTCCAGTTGAAGCTTGCATCTGCTACAAGACCATGGTGCTTGCCTACGGAGCTGTGAGGGGAACGGCACCTCTGTACCGACTCCTGAGTGGCGCAGTGGTCTAAGGCACTGCATCGCAGTGCTAACTGTGCCACTAGAGATCCTGGTTCGAATCCAGGCTCTGTCGCAGCCGGCCGCGACCGGGAGACTCATGGGCGGCGCACAATTGGCCCAGCGTCGTCCAGGGTAGGGGAGGGAATGGCCGGCAGGGATGTAGCTCAGTTGATAGAGCATGGCGTTTGCAACGCCAGGGTTGTGGGTTTGATTCCCACGGGGGGGCCAGTATAAAAAAAATATATGTATTCACTAACTGTAAGTCGCTCTGGATAAGAGCGTCTGCTAAATGACTAAAATGTAAATGTAAAAATGTACCTTCAGGCTCTGATCAGTCCCTACATCCAAAACGAGGGCATTGCGTTCATCCACCTCTGGCCTGCTGGCCCCCCTACCTCTGCGGAAGCACAGTTCCCGCTCAGCCCAGTCAAAACTGTTCGCTGCTCTGGCACCCCAATGGTGGAACAAGCTCCCTCACGACGCCAGGACAGCGGAGTCACTCACCACCTTCCGGAGACACTTGAAACCCCACCTCTTTAAGGAATACCTGGGATAGGATAAAGTAATCCTTCTAGTCAGGATCGAGGGAAAGATGAACGGAGCAAAGTACAGAGAGATCCTTGATGAAAACCTGCGCCAGAGCGCTCAGGACCTCAGACTGTGGCGAAGGTTCACCTTCCAACAGGACAACGACCCTAAGGACACAGCCAAGACAACGCAGGAGAGGCTTTGGGACAAGTCTCTGAATGTCCTTGAGTGGCCCAGTCAGGACCCGGACTTGAACCTGATCTAACATCTCTGGAGAGACATGAAAATAGCTGTGCAGGAACGCTCCCCACCCAACCTGACAGAGCTTGAGAGGATCTGCAGAGAAGAATGGGAGAAATTGAAAGCAAAAAGCTACAGTGAGCTATAGTCAGAATCCAAAGTGTCCTCATGTGCCCTGTGACCCGACGCTGACATCTCGGTGTCATCCTCCAAACACATAGCCGTCCAAGGCGTCCATGCTGAGAACACAATGTAGAAGGAAACTGTCCAGCTCCAAAACAACTGATGGCTTTGATAATCAAGGCAGACGACTCTATTAGTCTCACACAAAACACACACCTTTTTAGGCTCCATGGTGGCCCAAAACAAACAGTGAGGCACTCCATGGGAGGGGGAGGGCCCAGAAAGCAGAGCATTCTTCTGGGAATAATGTCTGGAGGGCTGACAAGTCTGGGTCTGGGCAATTCCACAGTAACAGAACGACAGAGACTCAGATTTGTTACTTTAAAAAGTATGCCAAAAAAAAAATTTACATTGATTGCAAAGTTAAACAAACCATACAACTATTCACAAGGACTACTTTTAACAATTTCCACTAAGGGTGTAACGGTTCACCAAACCCACAGTTAGGTACGTATTGCAGTTTTGGGGTCACAGTTCGGATTCAGTACAGCGGGAAAATTAAATGCCATTCACAATCTTCCTGCCATTGTCTGTTGTGACAGGATTGTTACAGTTGCAGTTGGAAGTTTACATACACTTAGGTTGGAGTCATAAAACTTGTTTTGTTTTTCAACCACTCCACAAATGTCTTGTTAACAAACTATAGTTTTGGCAAGTCAGTTAGGACATCTTGTGCATGACACAAGTAATTTTTCCAACAATTGTTTACAGACAGATTATTTCACTTATAGTTCACTGTATCACAATTCCAGTGGGTCAGAAGTTTACATACACTAAGTTGACTGTGCCTTTAAACAGATTGGAAAATTCCAGAAAATGATGTCATGGCTTTAGAAGCTTCTGATAGGCTCATTGACATCATTTGAGTCAATTGGAGGTGTACCTGTGGATGTATTTCAAGGCCTACCTTCAAACTCAGTGCCTCTTTGCTTGACATCATGGGAAAATCAAAAGAAATCAGCCAATACCTCAGAAAAAAAATGGTAGACCTCCACAAGTCTGGTTCATCCTTGGGAGCAATTTCCAAACGCCTGAAGGTACCACGTTCATCTGTACAAACAATAGTATGCAAGTAAACACCATGGGACCACACAGCCATCATACCGCTCAGGAAGGAGACGCGTTCTGTCTCCTAGAGATGAACGTACTTTGGTGCGAAAAGTGCAAATCAATCCCAGAACAACAGCAAAGGACTTTGTGAAGATGCTGGAGGAAACAGGTACAAAAGCATCTATATCCACAGTAAAACGAGTACTATATCGACTATTTAACCAGGTAAGCCAGTTGAGAACAAGTTCTCATTTACAACTGCGACCTGGCCAAGATAAAGCAAAGCAGTGCGATAAAAACAACAGAGTTACATATGGGGTAAAGAAACATAAAGTCAAAAAATACAACAGAAAATATATATACAGTGTGTGCAAATGTAGCAAGTTATGGAGGTAAGGCAATAAATAGGCTATAGTGCAAAATAATTACAATTAGTATTAACACTGGAATGCTAGATGTGCAAGAGATTATGTGCAAATAGAGATACTGGGGTGCAAAATAGCAAAATAAATAACAATATAGGGATGAGGTAGTTGGGTGGGCTAATTTCAGATGGGCTGTGTACAGGTGCAGTGATTGGTAAGGTGCTCTGACAACTGATGCTTAAAGTTAGTGAG